CCGCGCCTGCCTCTCCAGCTCGCCAAGAAGCAGCGGCGCAGACCCCGACTTGCCCTCTGCTTTGGTGCAAGGCGCTGTAGCCACATCCACCTTGGTTTGGATCCGTTCCTTCCGAGAGACCAAGTCTCTCCCCGTTACTTTCCATCAGCTGTCAAAGGGACGTGGGTCATGTCCCGGCGACATGGGCCAGGCAGGGCAAGGCTGGCTGCGTGGCCAGGGACACGCCTGAAGCTTTCATGAGGCAGAGAAGAGGCAGCGGGTGGTGTTGCTGCAAGTCCTGCAACAGCCCTGCCCTTACCCTGATACCAGGTCAACGGCTGGGCAGCCAAGCCTTTGAGATCCCTCCACGTTAGCACCAAACACCTGCCCCAACCCAAAACCTGCTGGTCACCAAAATTTCAGGCAGTGTTCTGCACACTGCATCCGCCCTTGCCGGCAATTCTGCACTGCTTTCCCGAGCAAACTTCAGCAGGGTAGTGATGCCCTGGTTGTCTGCATGTCTGAGCTCCAAAGCACGGGATCTAGGGCAAAAGATCTCTGTAGTGCTAGGGGTAGGACATCAGTATTATCTGTTTACTGCCAACTACTATCTCAGATGCAGTAGTTGTCATTTTCTCCATGATGGAGAGTATTGGATGTCTGAGCACTTCAAGGGATCATTTTGAAATAACTTACATGGGCTTGATGATTGGGAAACGCTCAGCACATGTTCTCCGAGCCAGCATAGGCTGTTACAGGCAGACAAAACCAAGTGACCTCAATGTCAGGCACTGCAAATGCAGTTGGAAGAGATGAAAGTCGAGCCAGACAAGGCAAAAAAGTACCATGAAAATACAGCAGACCCAGTATTTCTGACTTACACGTGGACACTTGTCTTACACTGTACATTTCTACATGTTATATATATACACACACATTAATCTGTACAGCATCTTAATAATCTACCCCCAGCAACCATGTGGAAGCATAGTGGTGCTTTGTAGAAGCATCAAGACAGGGACAAGAGTGCTAGGTTGACATCTGAAAGCTTGTCAGCGCTACTTGCTTGTTTATTTTTCAATGCATTTCTTTCTGAAACTAAGAGCAATTTTTTTAGTAAACCCATGACTCACCACAGCAGCCCAGGCTATGAGCTTTGCATGCTAAGCACCCTTCCAGCTGGCAATCAGTCCAGATTTGGCATCAGGGTCTGTGGCAAGGAAATGCCAGCCGCCATCAGAGCAGGCTGCAACAGTGCCTTGCAACCTGGGCACGTAGGTCAGGTGTGTTTGCCCTTTTTTCTGTTCTTAAACTAGTTGCACACAGGAAGGAGAAGGTCCAAAAAACAAAATATGTCGTCCATGGCTTCCCTGTGGCTTGAAGTTATGTTCTCTCTCAGCTTGGCTATCACTTACTTTTACTTCCACTCTTGCTTACATTTTTGTTCTCCAAGTCACCGTTAATTTGAATTCCGTGGGTGAATCCCGGCCCCATTAACTATGTGTTATTATTTCATTGACAAGGTGGGATCTCCCTCCTTCAATTTTCTTATTTATAAACATCAGAGCATGCTGGACTGCGTGATGAAACAAGACTGACAAAATACCAGACTAATGCAAAAAGTGAATTACTTCAAAGGGATTAACACTCAGGAAACAGTGATGATTGTTCTCTTCACATGAAACTAATGAGCAGACAACATCCATGCTCTTTCAGAGCAGGTAACGCACTACACTTCACTGCATAAAAACTTTAGTTGTACGCTATGTCTAATCCCTGAGTCCACATTAGGCTATGACAATTTTTGTGGTGTTACTTGCCAAACACAGGAGTAGTAACACATTTTGCAAAACAGGAGTCCTTTAGAGAGCTGGGAGGTGTATGTGAAGGTCTATGTAATTCCAGGTGTTATTTGGCCAAATGTTCAGCCTTGGATGACCACAGTTAAGACTTCTTAATTTCCCAGTTACTTGATTAGCAGGTGGAAGCACACATACAGAAATAAGGCTGCACAGGCCTAATGGGATTGTTTTTAGCAAGCCTCTGGGATTTAAAGGAGTTAGTAAGACTGAGACTCTGATTTCTTATATGCTTTTGAAAACCTTACCCGAGATGCTGAGAAATGGATTTAGGAGTCAAAATGGTAAGACTTGGACCTTACAGAAAGGTAGCTATTTTAGAACTAGTTCTGTGCAAAATAGCAAAAGTCTGCATTTTTCTATTAGTAATAGGTCTAGATTGTCACTTATTTCATTAACGCAGTGTTTAGCAGGCCCATAAGAGGCAAAGGTGGTTATTAACTGTAGTTTGAAATGAAGGAAAATGTGTTCCTCGTTACAGCCTGTGAGCCTCAAACACTTCAGCAGAAAAGCGCAAGCTGGATAGCATTTTGGTGCTGCACACTGAGAAACGCTGCGGATGGCCGTGGGCATTCAGCAGAGAGCCCGTCAACGCGGCAGGAGGCAGCGAGCTCCAGCGCAGGTCATTGAACACAGGGCTTGTACTTGGGGAGTGAGGGGACAAGCCAAGGCAAAAAGGATCTCCATGGGAACACGAAACACTGCACAGTCCCTCTGGCACAGCAAAGCATCTCACCGGCCTGTCCCTTTTTAAAAGAACTGCCAAAATCTGGGGCAGTGAAGAAGAGCAGTGGAAGAAATCAGTCTGTTTTGCAAGGCAGGAAGTACAAGAGCAACAAACTTGTGCAGCACCTTGCACAAGATACTAGGATATTAACTCTTTCTTTCTTTACAGCACTCTTACACCTTTCCTTAAACTAATAAAAAACCCCAGCGCTTTCTAGTACTATCAAGCTCCTCAAATATTTTTCAGCCTTGGAGTTCCTACAGCATAAGGAGAAATTGTGTTCCTGAGACATTTTTTTACAGCAGTGTCAAGTTTTGCAGATATTTACCACAAGAAACTGGAAATTACTTTTAATTGTGGAAACCTGCCCCCCTCTCAGCCTAAGAGCAGTACCTTACAATTTTCACAACACAGTTGTAGGGGAAAGATGCTGGAATAATAAAAGGCAGAAATTAATCCAGAAAAATAGAAATAAAAGCCACAAGAGAAGAGTATCAGTTAAAAGCTTTAATTTCTTCACAGAATCCTGAGTGAAGTCATCTAGGCTTCTACCTAGATTTATTGCTAATCTCGCTAGATTTATTGCTAACACACATTTACCAGGTTTACTGCTGTTTTTCCAAAGTACGCTAATCAGAAATGATAATGTACGCAAAATACCTGCAGCAGTGAGGGTACTATGAGCCCAAGCAGGGAAAGTAGGCTGAACTTCCACAAGTGTTTTGAGGAAAAAGACAACCTAGAATTAGAAAAGGATCACAGCCAGCAAGGCTCCCTCTCCTTTTCACTCTTTGAGTAAGCCTGCCTTGTTAGTATGCAGCTAATTCCTCTAAGCACTGCACTCTCATCCATCAGAAATCAAAGATAAAAGCTTCCACTATTGCCTACAAAGTTTATTAGCAAAATTATCTGTGCTGAGAGAACTCTTGATTCCAGACTGCTTTACTAAGAGTCACCCTCCTTCCCAGGGAGGGAATACTAACCTTTTTTTCCTCTCAGCTCATGGAATTTCCCTTCTAAATCTCTCTTAATAGCTCTGAGAAGCACCTGTTGACCAAGAGAGAAAAAACCCTCAGTGCAAGCCAACTACAACATGCTTGTGATTTGTGTGCATTGGCTTAAACAGCTTAACAACATTCTACATCTTCCACACCGTTTAGTTTTCTTCTGTAATCAAGCCTCCAATTCCTTGCAGTAGACTGTGAAATTACTGCTGCGCTAGAGTCCTGGGTACATCGTTGGATTAGCCATCACAAACCTCTTGCCTGGAGCATGATTAGCTCTAGCCTGCAGACAACCAGGAAGTCTAGATCAGGTTCAGGTGAAATTTCCAAACCCCCCCCTTACTGGAAATCCCGTCCTCCAGAGCCTGTGCAGCAACGTGACTGTACAGCGAATACTTTGTAATTGGAAAATCCACAGAAGTTGCCTTCCAGCTACTGCACAACGCCAGTGAGAATGCAAAACAAATTAGCTGGTAATTCACAGCAGGGTTAAAGTCTTGCAAGGACAATGGCCAGCAAAACTTTTTATTGGTAAATTGGCTTTTTTTTTTTTCCCCCCTTTTACATTTTTCCAGATTATTGTGTTTTCCACAGCACAGGGGAATAGGAAGCTGGAGCCTCTCCTGCAGGATTCTAGGAAGTCTGAACCTGTGGAAGAAAGTGCAAGACTGAATGGAGTGTGGGATGCTGGGGATGCCCAACTGTGAAAAACTGACAGGAGACATCATCCATGTGTACCAAGCACAGGACTCCCAGCAGCCTGGTAAAAAAAAAAGCAAAAAGGATGAGAGCATAGATACACAGACATAAAAGGAACACAGTCATAATATACCTCATCAGAAATAATGACCTTCATACCTTTTCCTGTTGTTTTTTTTTTTTTTAAAAAAAAAATCCATGTACAGATTAGCTGAACTCATTAATAACACAATCCACGAATGTTGAGTCTGTGGTGTCACCCAAAAGCACAAATTAAAGTCTTATTCGCCTACTTGATAATTTTCTTATGCATTTTTATCAAAATACGCATCATGTCTCTGCTGTGATTTCAGCAGGTTTTGACATGCACACATATACCTACTCGGTTACAGAAATATGAGAGATGAGTCCACTTAATAATCAAGCAAGACAGTCACTAAACACTAAATCACTACAACCCAAGGGGAAAAAAAACCCCAAAACAACACAACAAAAACCCAGCAAATTAATTCCACCTTATATCATTGCTATTCTTTGGTGCTTCAAACAGTGGTGGTCACCGAGATTGTTTATGCAGACTGACACACGGTCACTACAGTTATCAAGGCTACCAGACCATCTCTGAGATATTTTTCCATCTCCCTTACTGTTCAAGGGGAAAAATTCTCTCTTCTCATGCTAGCAATGTCTCCTTCTCCAAACTGAGATATTAGAGTAGTTTCATCTCTAAGGCTTTAGGGAAGAGACAGTGTAAGACATAAAAGTGATTGAAAGCTCAGAACTCCAGACATGTATATTGCTTGGGGAAAGTCAGGCAATAAAAGTGGCATGGAGTCGTGTTACTTGAACTCAAAATTGTTTCTACATTCTCAAAGTAGGAGACTAACAATTTTTCACCCTCAAAAAGTCAATTAGTACAAGTTTGTTCACACTACAATAGGGTTATTTTATCCTATAGAACTGTACCTTGAATAGTTCTGGGTGATATGTTTGGATCAAGTAATTTATTGATGATTTATAAACAGCTATTGTGAATTAATACCACCTACTTATTTGCCATCATAGCTCTGACGACAGAATGATTCTTTACAGAGTGCTGGATCCTCAACATTGCAACCAATTCCAGCTACTCTTTGACCATAGATACGTAAGAAAAGAAACTCCCAACTGCAGTAAAAAGCAGCAGAGCTGGTCCAGATAAAAAAAAAAAAAAAAAAAGCAGAAAAGCCAGCCTATAGTTGGCTGCTCTTGGTGTAGACAAAACAGCACATATCACAATCTGTTCCATCAGTTAATCAGCCAACACATACTCTAAAGACGATCCTCTGCAGCAAATACTTCAAAGTTTTTTTTTCAATTCTATCAGCAAAACCCCCTCCACTTCAAACTAGTTGCTCAAATTTTAAGTGTGCTTCTCAGAAGTTAGTAAGTTCTTTGGCAAGCCTCACCAGGCGCAAGATATTTTTACATAAATACAAAAGTTAGTTTCCCAACTGTCAGAGAACTAGATTTCTAATTAATCCTTAATGCTGCCTTAACTCACTGCCAAATTCCACAATAAACACATGCCTCATACAAAAAGCTCAAGAGCACAGTAAACAACATTAAGTTATATTCTCAAAATCAGAGATTTCAGCTTTAGGAATAGAAAAAAAAATGCAGATGTTACAAACAATCCATTTATTGGGTCTTAAACTACACACACAATTGAAATAATAATTTTGGCACTACACTATACAGTGGTTACATCTGTGTGCTGACACTCACTAAATACTGCACCGGGAACACTGCTGTGCTTTGAAGTTTGGAATGAGTCACACACTCAGCAGGTAGATCACTCAAAACATATCAGTGCTCCTGTAGGGTTGCATGAAAGTTGAAACACACACCAGTTTGTGAATTATTTCAATGTACCTCACATTCCATGAACTTATCACACCAGAATATGTGATGTCAGCATTTAGAGATGGCCACAAGTATTGTATTAAAATCTGAATGAGACATAGTAATAATGAGATACAAGAAACCCAAAACAAAACCTCTGCCTTTCAGACACAAAAGAGATATTCTGTTAAAGAAAATAATTTAAAAAACTAATAATGGCATTTGATTTGATACAAAAGCCAGAACTACTACCGTATTAACATCTAAGTATGAATCTTTACAAAATAATCTCACAATGGTGTTATGTAAAAGGTTGCAAACTGTACAATGTTTTGTCAATGCAATGCCTCTACAATTTATACAGTCTTTTACAACTATGTAACACATATTAAACATGTTGTTAAATAGCCAATAGATACCAGTCTCTGAACAAAGCTGCAGGCAAAAAATACAGAGCTTCCACAATCTTCTAACAAGATATACTTGCTCAAACAGTGACAATCTTTATGAGAACACGCTGTTAAAAATAGTCAGCCATTCAGTGCCTTTTCAGACTGTGCATACATTTAATTCTGTGAATTCAACCATCACTTGATAGTCCATAAATTCTTATCTGTGGGCTCTAATTATATGGAAATACCCAGTCTTTCGCCCTTAAAAATACGCTGATAATCACAGATTTTTATTCCACACGTGGTCAAGCTACGTATGAAGACCTGGCCAGGCAGTAAGAGCTTTCACTCCCCACACTTTGTCCTGCCATCATCTATACTGCACAGAGAAGATCAGCTATTTACATTTCGACAAGGAAGATACAAAAAGGCAATCCTGCCCTGAGGTGGACTGAATGATACCGAGGCTGTCACCTGATGGGCACTCAAATCCAAGTAGTGAAAAATAAACTCTGAGAAAGATAGGTTCCTGGCATTGTATGCTGACTAGGTAAGAAGTTGCATCAACAGAACTGGAGAATTTCACTGAGAATATTCTGGTTTGCAGCACTCTCTGGTTCTGCATTGTCTTTGATGTCAGAAAAGCTGGGAAGAGGGGTCAGAAAAAAAAGATAAGAAATGTGCAGTGTAAGTCACTGTGTGCAAGAAATCAGAAACAAGACTGATGTGTAATGCAGGCCAATGACAAGGGTCTTGCAATAAGCTCATGATCAGGCCCTGCAAGTGCAGTTACAAGGAGACTGTGGGGCTCCTTGGGGAGGTGAAATTCTTTTTGAATAGAACCAGGTCTTTATGTCTGTATTTAAAAGTGGCTTTGATTAGGCATCAGGATTTCCAACACAAAGTTTTCTATGTGATAAATTTCTTTGAGTTTCCTTTATTTCACAGAAAGGTTCCTACATCCTCGTTTTTCCAGGAGAAACCTGAAAAGAAAGAAGAAAGAGTTCAAAACAAGATTATTGCCTCATGCTATTACCACAGAAAAACATGAAAATATACATTAAAATTTCTCTTGGAATACTGTCACAAACATCACAACACAAGAGAGATCAGAATTTTGTAGCATAACAAAGAGAAACTCCAGGAATGGATTCACTCTTTGGAGACATGCCTGTTTTAAGAAACCTGGTAGCAAAGCCATAATGTGGAAGAGGAAACAGTTTGGTAGCAGTCATTCCTCAGCACGAGATGTAGATGATATACTGGACTGGGTGGTAGGCTAAAGTCCTCAGAGGCATCAGAAGTACAAAGCAGCAAATACCTTGCCTTTAGTGAAACTGCCAGGCATTTAAAAGGCAGCCAACTGGCAGAAAATGGAGAACAGGAACATCAATATTCAAGAAAAAAAGTGCAAGTGTCTTAGCAAAACACTAATGTAATACAGGGACACACAAAAAAATGTGCAATATTTAACCAAGTAAATCTATCCTGAACAGACCACTGGAGGTACAAGGGACTTCATTCTCCCTGTGGTTTAGGGATTCCTCTCTATTCCATGCTAGACTAGAGAGCTAGAGTAGATTTCATAAGACTGATGTTTCTGTCAATTTGCGTCTAAATAATCTTACCTATCTATGCATAATAGCATGGTGAAACCAAGAGGTCAGTAAGCACTAGTAGCTGGTCATCCGTGAACTGCTGTTTATGCTCCTGCCAGTTGTCATGATGGGTCCTCCGGAAATTTGACAGCGTTTTCTTCACAGTCATCTGCACAGCAAACAATCAGTATTGATCTGTATCAGTTATGGATTTAAGCTCCATGACAAAACAAATGTTGAATACAACAAAAAAACCCCTGCTGAGTAGAGCATAGTGTTCGAGCAGCTACAAAGGTTAGAAGGGCTCTTGGAGAATTCAGCCCAGTTCCCCAGTATTTTAAATTCTTACAGTTTTAGTTAAAGTCTTTTGACTGGTGTCATGACTCCAATGTTCTTGTAAAAAGGATTCTTTGAGATATAATTTTGAGTTTGAAAAAAATAATAGATATTTATAAAGTATAAGTATTTCCCCCTCTTCCTTTTCCTTGGGTATTTCAAACCAAGAGTTTGGGTCTCAAACAATGAGAAATAGTGGATGAATCACATAACGTGCACAGAACAAACAAATCAAAGAAAAACTATCTTCTCTTATTAAAATAATTAAGATTATTCTTAAATTAACAAAAGTCCAATCAGTTCAGTTCCTTGATTCAGTAAAGCACACCATAGCAAAGTTTGTTAGATCTAAGGAATTCTTCAGCCATAAGCTCACTACCCTGGTTAACACTGCAAAGGTCAACAAAACTGAATAGACAGAGAGAGGAAAAAAACCCCCAAACAATTAAAGGTAACTATTTTCATTAAAAACAGTTTTAGGGCTGCGTATAAAACCTTGTTTTAAAAATTTGAGTGATTTTTTTTGTTGGGGTTGGCATTTTCTGGAATAGCATCCACAAAAGTGACAGTTTTAATTAAAAAAAGACTATTTCTCATTATAGATATAGTTCTTGTAGCTTTCAGTTTATGCTTTAAATTTGTAAGCAAGAACAAAATTACCACAAAAAAATGCTTAAAAGCAGCCCATGACTTAAAAAGTATTTGGAACCATGTAATAAAAAGCAGCAGAAACTAAGTTTCTTAAGAGCCTCACATTTATTTATTAGGGGAACTTAGAATGAGTCAAGCATATTTTAGATGTTTTATATTAAATAGAAAAGCGATATAAGTATTTTTACCTCAATAGGCTGAGGATCATTAAGATGGGCACTGAGATCCATCAAGAGCTGTGGCATCCAGGTGGGTACATCATAAGGGCTTGATAAAATACACGCACTAAGTCCTAGCACACCAGCATGGCGCTTAACCAAATCTGCAATTGCAGGATATTAACTTACATTTGGCAATCTTGTCTAAGACATTCCTCAATGACACAGGACACAGCCAAACTTAAAACTGGTTATCAGTGAAAATAAGGCTATTTTTAACTGATGGCAATGACTGAAGAGAACCTATATATTAAACAGAGGTGACCTAATTAGAATAACATACAGACACTAATATCTCTTCTCAGTAAATAGTTCATAAACTATATCTTCACTGTTTCCTCTTTCTGCATTCAGAATGTTTTCTCAAATATCAGAACTATTTGACAATATGGAAACCCAGTCCCTCTGGGTCAAATGAACGTGACTCAGATGCACTATATGTCTGGACAGATGCCAAAGCTCCTAAGGTTAATTAAGGTTTTTTTTTCCCTTCTGTTCTTTTGTGTGTCTGCGTGTGTGTGGGTCTTTTTAGAATCAAAAACCACACCGCTAACAAACAGAAGGTAAGGTGGGTAAGGAGTGAAATTGTTGTGGCAATTAAGGAAGTTTATTTACTGAGGAAACAGCTATCCCTCATCATCTGCATTCTCAACTATGTGAACTGTGTACACTGTAAATAGAGAAATCTCTTTAGTCTTAATTCTGGAAAAGTAATAAATTAGTTCAACGTCGGAATACATAACAAAAAATTATTTGCTTTCTTTCGTAGTAGTGTATTCTTATTCACCATTTACACAGTAAATCAAACTCCCAAAGCACTTAGCAAGGATTAGGATCTGCACCACATACACACAAATAGACAGTAAGATAGATAAGGACAAGTAATTTGCCATCATAGTTTATGGATGCTTAAGAAGGAAAAAAAAATTTGCACGGGCAACAGGCCCTATGTTTTCTGGGTATACGCTAATTTTCTAAATTCTGCTTAACCACAGGACAAATCCTATTCCATCTGGAGTGCTTGTGGAATAAACATTTAAGTGTAGCACAAAATGTTTATTTCCTCCTAACCTCCTATTGACATGCATGGTTTTAGTGTCTGAAGCAATTTTCTTACCACCAGAAGGAATCGTATCCACCACTGAACCCAGGTCTCGCTTTCGTTTTTTTGGTAACCTCATCTTGCACAGCTGTTCAAAATGCGTCTGCATGGGCCCATCCATAGTGAGAAAACTGCACTGTAGCAGACCACTTAGCGTGGTAGCAGCCATTTCTCTCACCTATGACCAGAGATAGTACATACCACAATTACTAAACACACATGCACAGCAAAAAGCAGGTATTTATGCTATTACTATCCTTTTAAGTACATCCAGCTAGGCCAAGTTACCAAACTCTGCCCAAGAAAAGTCTTTAAAATATTATCCTGTTATGTCACAGATCATAAACTACTAACTTACTGTATGGCTCTTTACAAATTAATAAACTCAGTGTTATTGTAATATAGAACTACCTTCACATAATTTGTCATAGTTACCTACTACTAGAACTAATAATGTAATTAAACTCCATTGTCAAGACATATGTACCATAGACTAATTAGCTTTAGAAAGTTTAAAAATAGACTTTGAATGAGAACAGGATGCCCCACCCCAAATAATCAGTCTGCTTCACAAAATTTGTAATAGTTTCTGTATCAACATTAGTTTTACCAAGAAAAAATGGAGTATATTTTATTCAAAAGCATTTAGTTTTCCCCCTCAAATGTACATGAAGGCCTTAGAATTGACAAAAGCAGAAGAGCTTTTCAAAGAGAATGCAGAAGGTATGTTCATAAGACAAAGCTGATTATATTCTACCTACAGCACAAGAATTCTTTGAGAGGTACAACAGATGCTTTAGTGGTTTATGGTTTACAATTCAGTTCTATAACACTCCAGCATTACTTACATTGCTGTCCTGATTACCAGTTCTCTTCACTACATGCATAAAAACAGAATTCCAGGTTGGAAAAATATTGTTCTACTTGGTAACGCAGAAACCCCAAAGAATAGGACTAAACTAAGTTTCCATCTCATTGCAAAACCATTCAAAACACAGACCTCCTTTTCCATTCTTCTTAAAACAGCCACAACACATGGTTAGTGGATTACAAGCAGAGACAACTGAATCACTTGCTTTTAAAAGTAAGTATAACCCAGCAGTATTACTAGTCTCATCTACTCAAATCTCCTCAAACCATAACGTTATAGAACTATAAGACCATATTTAAACCGGAGTCCCTCCAAGACTCACTTCCAATAATTGCAGGCTGACAAAAATCTTCCAGCACTTACAAACTTGAAAACCAAATCAACTTGTTGAAACACTGACAGCAGCTGACAGATGTTTTGGTAAGTACATATTGTTACACTGTAAGCAGAACATTTGTCTAGCTGGAGTACAAACACCTACCAACCCTCTGAATCCAATGCAGCAGATTATAATAAATTACATCCTTGAACATAATGTTCTGAACCTCCACAAAGCAGTAAGTATAGCTGCAAGTGCTGCAATAATTAAACACAGTAAGTTAACAATAAGCTCTTGAGACTTCACTTCATTTAAATTTCTGCAACATATTATTCAAACGTGATCTACTTTGTTAACAGTATAAAGAAGTACGAAGTGAAAGTCTGCCAGTATTGTTTATCAGCAATTTGTGAGTCTCTTAAGAACTAAGCTATTAAATGAAACACGATGTGCTAATGCAAGACCCAGAATAGAAAGAAGCTTGGCTGTGAAGTGAGCAAGCTCCCAAGCGAACTGTACTCATTTACATCACTATTCACTGTATTAAAACCACTTTCACATCTAAATTAATAATCTAACTAAAAGAAACATTTTGCTGCAATGAGCATCTAGAAGCAAAGCCTTTAAAATCATACACTACCAAGTTTATCGTTCATCACAACATCTGACACTAAATGATTTACAGATTATCACACTCACATGGTGACTTACAGAATACAAAAATTACATAGGAACAGCAGAGGAATACTCTCTCAATCAAGTTAGTGGGGTTTTTTTGTCAGAATTGACTGACCAAGGTCTTAAAAACTGCAACAATATTAGAACAAAAACACTCAACAACACAAGCAAAACCTAAGCGCATTCCTTGTAAGGGGCTGCTTATACAAAGAGAAAATATTCCCAGTACCATAATACTGAAGTGTAATATCAAAAATGCTTATTCAAGACATGAGTGCTATGTATTCAGCACACTGATTTAATACAAATACATGAAGCACCTACCCACATAGATTCCTAGATCAAATTAAGGCTGAGAAAACTGTGAGAAAGATGCTTTCAGATTAACTAGGCTATCACTTTAACCATAACTCCAAGTTGAATACAGTAATTGTCACTTCTCCTCTACTTCTGAGTAAATAGAATTATTTAGTGCAAAACGTGCTTTCCCAAACTCAAACCATTCCCGCAGCTCCAACTGCCTAAACGACATGAAATTAGATGTGGTAACTCAATGGTGGTTATACTGCTGTACACAAAGATGCCGTTTTTCAGGACTGTGTACTTTTTCCCTTTACCAGCTGCAGGGTCACATCAGCTTTCACATTCATAGTTCTCCAGTTCCATGACTCCTCTGACTTTCAGAAGCAGAATTTCCCACAATACCATTTAAGTACAGCTTTCTTCAATTGTCGAGACCTGCGCTGGAAAGTTGGATGCATGAAATCTGCGTTCGATACAAGCCAGACTGTCCTACGACCCAGGTTCAGTTTGTATTGCAGTCACATTGCTATTTGACATTCAGTGTGGGCATTTGGCATCGTCATTTGCCAAGGTTTGTTGCAATGATTTTATGAAAAAATATAAAATCACCAAGAAGTTGGAGAATGGTTATTCTAGCATCATCAGAAGTACAAACTATATATTAAAGCAAAGAACACGGTGGCTGGATCATTAGGTGTGGCACTTCTGTACCAAAATAAGCAAAAATGTATCTTAAAATTCAAGAACCAAAAGCTCAGTTCTACAGGGTAAAGACACCAAATACTAATTAAAGTCAGGGACTCCCATTTGAAAAACCCAGCATTAAACAAATACATAGGAATTACACTGCAAGATATTGCATCTTGCCAATTATTATCAAGAAAGAACAAGATTATTTTTCAAAGAAAAGTGAAAGCATCCATGGTAACAACATGATTGTAAGTGGTTATAAACCATAGATAAGCTTTTTTGATTTGCATCTCTGTAGTGCAGAAGAATAATTTTGTACATTTAAAACAACTAGATAAATTGTATTAAAGTGAATAAAAGGTATTTTTCAAAATGACATGAGATTATGAGGTAAGTGTTCTGACTGGTGTGGGAAAACTTCTCTAGGATTGGAAGCTGTTGCTTTCCAGTTAACTGTAACAAATAGTGACAGGAAAGGTAGGACAGAGCTCATCTGAAGAATAAAATTGGCATGGTTGGGCAAGCAGTCTTAGTGCTGTTGTTTAAATATTACATGCACTTACAGAGTGCATGTAATATCAAACCTTTTAAGCCAGAAATTTTAATTTGTATATTCAAATTATTTCCAATTCACTGTTCACAAAAGCAAGCTTCACATCTCAGGTATAACTACTGTTTTAAATGTAGCTCCATGAAGACCCAAACCAAGCTCTTTGTTTTAGCAGAAGGGTATCACACTTCAGAATCTTCTCCTTCTTTCGGAAAGGAAAAAAGCACCCAAAAGGAGGACTTCATTGGTATTTGTCAACAGCACAAAAAACAGCAAAAATGATGGTGCAGGGTAAATGGGACAGACTGGAGATTAACATTATCAATTCTTCACTGTGCTTGAACATGATCAAACATATCTAAATTCACGTTATTTAATACAAGCCTTCAGTTCTGTAAATTAATGACACAGAATAAAATACTTACATGATTTTCCCCCAGTTTTTGGAAGCCTGATAAACAAGACTCAACAATTCACATCAGGCACCTTTCCCCGCCCTGAGAACAAGCTTATGATCCTGATAGCACTTCTAAGAGCATACTTGGATCTTCAAAAATATGCATGTACTACAGCCAAGATTTTGGATTTTGTCTCCTTCCATTTGTATATACTGAAGTTTCACTAGCTCAAGAGACGTACAAAAACTTGTCAGACTGACAAGTAAGCTTACAAACTATTATCTTTTTGAATGATGCACCAACATCAGTAACAGCATCTGCTAGGCAAATTCTGTCCTATTATGCATGCATCTACCAACAGCCATGCTAGTATTTATAGTAAAACGATAATATCCCTATTTCAGCTGTGCTTAAGCTAAGAATGAAACAAAGCAACATTCCACTCTGTTGAAAAAGTAGGAACAATAGAACTTTTAAAAATCACTGATGAAGTCTTTTCTAAACAGCTGTTTTCCTGGAACAGAACATTAAAAGAAAGAATGGTATATGAAACAAATAAATCCTATAAAGCTAATTATATTTTCAAAATAGGAAGAATGCTAAGCTAGAAATACTTGCTGTATTAATTTACAACCAGTAGATTTTTCATGAAACTTGACACGGGCAAGAAACGAGTTATGTGAAACAAAGCATTTCAGAAAAGGTATCACTTGCCTCAAGCTGTTCATCTTCCAGGAGTCTTATAACCAGCCATCTAATGTCACTGACTGCTTCTTCATTGTTGAGAAAGATAAAGAGATTGTAGAACACCATGGTCTGGAGGTAGGTTAATATGGTATACCTAGCATGCCAAGAATTGCTTCTTGCTGTCTACAAGTAGAACGTAAGGGAAAGCAGCTCAATTCAAGAGTGCATTTTAATTTGTGTTGTTTTTCAGAAAGCTGCAGTGTTGATAAATATACTGTAAAACTATAAAAAGGCAGAGATTCAAGGACACTTCTTTATGATGACTCACTTTGAAACTGGATTGTGAACTGTTATGCTCCCGAGGAGACACGTTTGGCTTAAACTGATCTACTACTGAACCAACTTTAATTTATTGAAATACTGTTTATTTTCTGACCAAGACACAAGTTGTTTAAATGTCTGGAAGTAGGAAAAAAAGAAAACCAAACATTTACTGTTTCTAAGAATGTTTTAAAACATTTATAATAAACAATTTCACCTCTAAGAAAATCAGTATTTGATTCTCTTCAAATCACAATTACTGTATAATCTTTTAAAAAAAACCCCACAGAATGCATCAGATAACAAGACACTAATCTACTTAGACCCATACTCACTTGTTTTAGCACCTGAAGTACCAAAGGCACTTGCTGAGGATACAGCAAACCCTGAGACATTAATGACAAACACATCTTAGCATCTCTTTTGAGCTCATCATAGCTATTGTCATTTTCTACTGGTGCAATCTATAGAATGAGATCGGGGTGGGGGAAGAGAAAAAAAACAGGCTAGTGTTAGTAAATAAGCATTGCTAAGAGCAAAATTCTGAAACTTTCTAGTTTAATCTCATGAAAGGAAAGTTATCTAGGAAAAATACAATCAATACAATGCTGAAAGATTAAGTAGAAAAAACCATCAACATAATGTTAAAATATTCTCAGCAATAAGCTGTGGAAAAAAGTGACTAGAATCATAAGATCCTTGTTCTGTGCACCATACATTACTTATCTAAACTGTATGTCTAATCTGACGCTCTTAAGGAAGATTAAATGGGTGCTGTTAAGACTTCGGTTCTCCATTGCAATTCTTTTGGTATCAAATCCAATCAATTTAGTATTTTAGATGTAGGTCCAAAACTGAGACAAAGCTTTACCAGTATTTCAAGCTCACTTTCACATAAGTGAACCTTTATTCTGTGGTCACATACATTATTGTTGGATAACTGACTGATGTTTACATGAAGACAGACATATGCTTTGGAGTATGCAAATAGATATTATTTCAGATATGCAGCACTAAATGACAAAAGCATACAAGGATTAGAGATGCCAGGAAAAACAAGAGAAGTACCACCATTTAGAAAGAATTGTATAATGATGGAACAAAAGAAAACAACTACAGATGAGTATCAGAACAGAAACAACATACACTCATGGAATGAAGGGGAACTGTAACAGATTAACAAAGGAGAGAGGGATGAGAATGAGAAGAGAGGGCAAGGCAAGGTGCTAAAGTAGAAGCAAAGGATTAGGTGAGCAAGTATCGCAGTGCAAAGGGAAAGTACAGGGAAGACAAAGAAAGCATTGTGTCAGGTTAGAACAACCTTCATCATGCACTCTGTTCATTCACACCCACACATCCTTCATTTTCTTCTTCCTCATCCACACACATTTCCAGACATTTTCTATCTCCACTCTTTAGCCCAGCCACTACTCCAAAGCCCTTCCTGCTTGCTTCAGCCTCAGCTTCACCTTTGATCCATGCACGCCTTCATCCCTCCCCTCATAAGCTCACCAATGTGCAAGATCAAAGGCCAGCATACGGGACACAGCAGGGCAGTGGAAACAAGTGTTATATAAACACGTGATATACTAAAAGAGGGTAGATTTAGGTTAGATATTATGAAGAAATTCTTCATCATGAGGGTGATGAAACACTGGAACAGGTTGCCCAGAGAAGCTGTGGATGCCCCCTCCCTGGCACTGTTCAAGGCCAGGTTGAATGGAGCTCTGAGCAACCTGGTCTAGTGGAATATGTCCCCACTCATGGCAGGGGGGTTGGAACCAGATGATCTTTAAGGTCCCTTCCAACCCAAACCATTCTATGATTCTATGAATGAAACTTTTCACCCCACAAATTACGCATCTACAGGGCATTCACCTACAAGTCATTACTGTCAGGAAACCATTTAACAGGCTAGATCACCAGCTGTAAACACACATAAGCTTAAAAAAATCCCATTTGGGCCTCCTCGGGATGCATGTTTATCATCACCACTATTGGTTTTCTTTTTTAAATAAAAGTCCCTTATAACTTTGCTTTACATACAGAAGTCCTTTATAATCAAACACAACTAAAAAAGCATAATTAAAGCACATACCTTGAAAAATAATGGTAAAAGCTGGAGTTGTTCTGTGACAGCTGTAGAGAAGGATCGCCCTGCACTTGCCATCAACCACTTCAGAACTGTTTTTATGAAAGAAATGATCACTGATTAAGAAGATAAAAAATAGTAATGATCCCAAAACAAATTATAGACCAAATTTATTGCAAGACTCGCCTGGGAGATTTTCACACCTTAGAGTGGACCTATACTGGTAGTTTCAGCCTGTAAAGCTGGCGTTATAAACCTCAACCCTGAAATAACATATACCTTGTTGCAGCATAAATCTGAGAGGTGTAATTTTGTACTGCAACTTTTGGATTTGCAGACCTCAGTCATCACGCCCTAAAATACTCCCCTATTTCTTAACCTCATTAAGTAACTCACTAGTTTTCAAGAGTTTAATGCCCTGAGTTCGCTCATCTTGTTCACCAACTCCATTCTCTTCCATAACATGATTCTGAATTTCTTCATCTGCTTCCATGAGTGGTTTAAGATTTTCAAGTATCCGGGTAGTAAATTCATGGACACGAGGAGATTTAGTTGCAGCAGTATTTGGCAAGGAGACATCTATCATGAATATGTAGGTCAAAACACTAAAAAAAAAAAACAAAGAAAGCAAGAACAAACAGTTAGTATGACAACTGAACATAGCTAAAAGTGATCCGAGATCAATTTGTTGAGCTTTGAAGTTTAATACTTATAGAAAATTTCCTCTTCACTTCAAAGTTATTTAAAACCAAATGTTTTTCAATACTCTCTTTGCAGACATTTGAATCAAGTAGGCGTAGTCACTAAGCTACAAACCACCCCCCTCCTCCAAACAGATCTGCAACTAGTTTTTAAGTCAGTAAGATGCTATCTAAAGGATTCCCTGTACATTTATGGCTAATTAGGGCTTTCACACAGTAAATTTGGGTTGTGGGGTGTTTTTTTGGTGGATTTTTTTGCAGGGGTGTATGTGTGTGTGTGTTGTTTGTTTGTTGGCGTTTAAGAGCTTTAGAGATATCACACATAAACATAACAGGCCATATACAATAAAAGCCAAAATTTAGAGAAGTCATCTGAAGTTTCTGAAGCAAGTCAGTTAACAATAATTTACCTGATTTCTATTACCAGTACTAAGACAGACATAAGCAGACACCACTTCAGTGTAATTATTTAGACATTCAATTACCCAAATAAAATCAAGAGAAAAAAACCCAAGAGCTGTACAAGAAAACACTGACCTTCCTATTCTCTCTCGGACGTTTTTGTAAACCTGCGTGAGTTTAGGTTCTAAGTACTTCAGCAGTCTATGCAACAGCTCCGGTACTCTCCACTCTTGCTGTGCAAGGCCACCTTGCAGTACATACAGTCGGCTAGGAATCACAACAGCTTATCTTTAGTCATGCAAAATTGTTCTTCCCTTCCCCAGTCCCCTCCAAGCCTTGTTCTGGAATGTTATGTGTGTGTCAAAGCATAAAAGTGTCTCTGTGTGAATTGCATGCAAAGATGGGTAAAAATTACAGAAAGAAACAACAGTATTGCTGCTCTGCCAGTTCTAAACTTTCACAATCTGTTAACTAGATTTAATTACATTAAAAAACTAATGAAGAAACTGCCATTGCGTTGGGAAAGCCAACTGGAACAGAGCACTTCTGTTCCCTGCTTCTACAAGCTAGCTGGCACAACATGCTCTAAATACATTTTATCCATCCATGCTTTATTTATTGTAGCTCAATAAAGAAAACAGTTAAAATTAATTTTACCATGCATCTACAAATGATCCCCCTTCACCACTCAATGGAGATTCCAACAGCAATTCAAATAACCAGTGCAGTTTCCTAGGATCTCTGCTCTCCTGAAAATAAACGGGTATCAGAGATATAAGCAAATCAGGGATTTTTAAAATGCAAATACTGTATAAACAAGGAAAGTTTCAACAGGGATTTTCTTTGCATCCCTTGGGTTTATTTTATGAAGCAAGTGCAAAGCTAAATATCTTTACACAACAAATCTCGATAGGAGGAAAACCCAATGAAACCACACACAGTTTTAATTATTTGGTAAATACAATCACAAGAATAGAAGGAATTTTAGCTTCATTTTTGACGTATAAGAATAATCATGTCTGAATTTTGCTAATTAATTGCCAGGATTCTGGCTGACAAACTACATTGAATTTTGCTGAGTGATTTCAAAGAATTACTGATCCAAGATATTTGTGGCTTATCATTTACCCTGCCTCTTAGACACCACAACTCCCAGTCCACCACAGTGTATAGAAATCTTACTGTACGTTAGAAGACAACTTAAGACTTAGTTTTCACAGCATAATGCTAAGCTGCACACTTCTAAAGCAAGAATAAATGTGTAATTTCAGTTCAAGAACTCCCACAAAAACTGAACACATAGCAAGCATACACATTAACACCACCCACTAACCTTATACAGCTCTTGCAAAATACTTAAAAAGAAAACTAAGGCTTTATTTTCTTTCTAAAGTGTTGCATTTGTCTGCAAAGGGCAGAAGAGAACAAAATTTCCAAAAAAGCTATGAGATTTTAAAATGGGTATTATTTTTATACTGTATTCACAGTTCTCAGTTTTAGCTGATAAAATATACCCAAATATCTCTGTTCATAAAGCTCTTACTTGCATATTATCTGTAAAACTTGACCATCTGGGTATAGCTTTACAAGACTAAAAGTAAGTACCCCTTTACTTACACAGGAGGTTGCTATGCATGTGCCCCAATCATTATATGTTTCCACTGTAATGTTGGACAAAGCTGTTCGAAGCAATGGACAGAGAAGCTTCCAAAGTTTTTCCACCTGCTCATCAAAAAGGCAAAAGACAAGATTTGCCTATTTAAGGACAAAATGGCTGTCTAACCTCTGTAAACCCAAATCCTTCCATCTTTTCAAATAATGGAAAAACAATACCGATTCTGAAAGCAGCTACAGTGTGATATTTACAAAAGGAAATCAATACTATCAGAGACAAGATTTCAAGAATCATTTAAATTTTATCTACAGGGTCTTTAGAAATACTGTGGACTATGTATGCACCATTTTCATGGTGATTTAAGTACAATTGTACTGCATACACTTTGCTTTTGGTAGGACAGCAGTCTTGCACACTCCAAGGACTTCCCCCCAGTTTTAAAATTACTTTTAAATTTTTTTATTAAGGAACTGATTCTCCCAGAATTATTTTTCCGTATAGAAATTCATTTAAAGATAATCTAGACAGCTATGTCTAAACTACATAGAGACATAATAGTCCGAGGTGGACATATGCACTTATGCCAAGTGGAAATTACAAACCTTCTCAACTTTGCTAACTCCCTAACAAAAACCTGTTCTTAGCTTTAATCTTGAAGCATTTTACTAACTCCTAGTATTATATAGGCACCAAATCAAGCTATGAATTGTGCTCAAAGTTGCGCAATGAAGCACTAAGTGTTGCAACGCTTTCCAGTCCTTTCTTGGACATTGGTGATATATTAAAAGCCCTCAATTTCATACGTTTAATTTGATTAATAATTCAAACTTATTCCTTAACTTCCATGAATCACTCAAAAATACTACATCAGCACCTTCTCAAATGTCCAGTGTTTAGAACCTCTTATTAAGCCGGCTATAATTTCAGCTACGCATCTCTGGGTGCTTTCATGGGAGTCTGCCACAAGTTGTTCTAAATGGGGCTGAAGAACTGGCAAGAAGGCATCATCAAAGTTTCTGAAAAGGCCCTGTAAAACAAGATGTGAAAGTGTCTTCAGTAATTATCCATCTAAACCACTGTCTTTGTAAGAAGAACATAAGATCAGAAAGCACTTGAGATCTCAATATGCAGAAAGTGAAATTACTTTGCTTTTGCAACAGAATTATACACAAGTGTCTTACATACTTTTATATTACTCTGCTTCCCTAAGCAGTTAATCAGAAGAGAGGATTAACAGGATTAATCACAGCAGTATACCTTTAAAAATCAACATTTTGCAACAGTGGGGTATAAGTCAAGTAGTCTGTGGCTTTCCCATGCTTTGATAATTATCTACAAAATGGAAGCAATTTAGTTCTTGAACTCTAGTTACCTTGAAGAGGCAAAATCTACGAGGATTAAATTTGTCTTTTCCTTTTCTGTCTTCTAAAGACAAAAATTTAATTAACTGCTCAACAAACTTGGGATCAGAAAAGTGATCATATATAATTTGTTCTGCCTGTAACAGAAAAAAGAAAAAAGAGATTAGCTTTGAGGTGCTTGATTCTGATATCCCACTATTTTTGGCAAAAATCATGCCTGGGTTATCCTACTCCTCCCTCACTTTATAGGGAATATTGGGTAATGTTTTCAAGACTCCTGATTTTATTTTCATTAATGACTTTGGACTGTCTTTCCTTTCACTAGTATAAACCCTACAAAGCAGTCATTCCCACTGTCACTAATTACCTTGTTCTAAATGCTGATAAAGATTTGAAAGGGAAGAAGAAAGTGGTCATTAATACAATTATTCCACGATTGCTGACAGGGAAGCTGCAATACATTAAAATATTAATTTCTTCTTGTATAATAACACAGTAAGTATGAAGATCCAGTAGAAAAATATAATTAAAAATGTCTTGTGGGGATCTAGATTTCAGAATAGTTATCACTTTTTGCTTGTTAAAAACATGATTATATCCACACAGCCATGAAACCGCGTAGAGTTCAAAATCCACCTTGGTTTGCGATCAAGCAAAACAAATCTGCTTCCACACATTTTGTGTAAGTACTCTCTAAATGGTAAGCAATACTTAGGCTAAAAGAGAGAAGAGAATTTGATCTTCACATTATCTCCACAATAATCTGTGGATAATATTAAAAACAGAAAGGAAGAGAAGTAGTATTAAAAAACCCCACAAAACTGAAACACACTGAAAGCCTTACTTCTGTCAGCTCATGTCTCCTTCGCCCAAGCTTTGGTTGATGCTCAGCTGGAGCATAAACTGTCATAGTTCTGAAATGTAAAAAAATATAAAAATATAGTAACATTTTTCAAAGTAAAATAAAGCATATTATTTTATGTATTCCCTATATTAAATAGGATTTATCATCAACTCCAAAAGAGCAAAACTTACACGAAAATTTTTTAAAAAAATTAAGCCTGTTATTCTAAAGGTTTTGCTACAGCAAGCAATCCAGAATTATTAGTGATAGAATACTCTGCAGATTTCACAACTATATAGTTTTCGAACATGCACACTTCATTTTAAAACCAGCAGTTAAATAGCCATATGAAATACGTGCCTATAGTATCCACAAAATCCAAAGAGAATCACAGAATCATAGGTTAGAAAAGGCCTCTAAGGTCATCAGGTCCAACCATCCAACCAACACCACCACGCCTACAAAACCATATCCCAAAGTGCCACATCTATATGTTTTTTGAACACCTCCAGGGATGGGGACTCAGCCACCTCCCTGGGCAGCCTGTTCCAATGCCTGACCACTCTCCCAGTAAAGAAATTTTTCCTACTATCTAATCTAAACCTCCCCTGACACAACTTGAGGCCATTGCCTCTCATCCTATCACTAGTTACTTAGAAGAGACTGACACTCACCTCACTACAACCTCCTTTCAGGTAGCTGTAGAGAGCAATAAGGTCCCCCCTCAGCCTCCTCTTCTCCAGACTAAACAGCCCCAGTTCCCTCAGCTGCTCCCCATAAGACTTGTTCTCTAGACCCCTCACCAGCCTCACTGCCCTTCTCTGGACACAATCCAGCAACTCAACGTCTTTCTTGCGGTGAGGGGCCCAAAACAAAAAATAAAAAATAATTAAGAAAACAACCACACACACCCACAACCACCCAGAAGTGGTAAAACAAACAAGGAGCACAAAGCACAAAGTAAATTGTATTTTTTTGTTTCAATTTAAAAAACTAAACCTAACAAACTTTATTTAATTTCCCACAGGGTTTTTTCTGCTGACTCTCACAAGTCTATCTTAACACTTAATGATACTCACTGAGGCCAGGTATAGTATCCCCAGTGTGTTTTCTCCACAAAACAACATGACTCCCAAGCTTCCTTAGTCTTTGGTAAACTCTGACTGTCATAGTGCAGCCACTGGTTATCCGGTCTGTCACCAGCCTGAATGCTGGAAGGCTTAGGGTTTCCACCTGGTTAAAGAGGAATTTATGCTCTATCAAACTTGTTCATTAACAGTCCCAGCAAATGTTGTGACTTACTTCTAATAAAAGATTCTAAAAAGCTTTTGTGTCTCCCTCACCCCAATCAAATCTGTACAGATACTTGCCCTAGGAGACTAAAAGTAACACAAACAGTAACAGAAGAGACTCCTTTAGTAGTTTATATAAATGTCCCATTTGAAATTATTAAAAAAGAATAAAAAGGAGATATACAAATTATTCACAAATTATAAGGCTTTCTGGAAGAAGAATGACCATACCTCTGAAGTCTTAACTCACTTAAGTAAGTGAATAGCTTAATATACACTTGCACGTATAACACTGCTTTAAAAGAGAAAAAACATAAAATTGAAAAATGAACTATTTTATTACCTATTTTGTTTGCTTAGGACATTAACAACCAGAGAGAAATGAAAAGGTTGCAATTCTATGTTTAATTTAACCAGGAAAAGATGCTTTTAAAAAATTTTACAATAAATGTAAGACATTTCTTATATTAAATAAAACCCACTTATTTCATAAGGGCAGATGGGCACTTTCTTGTGTGTTCTCTTAAGCTGCTTAAGAATACCAGCCACAGCCGAGATGGCCACCTAAAAGAAAGAAAGAAATGGGCATTAATGTATCCATTCCATACACCTGCTTCCAGAAGGATGTGTCTAATCATCTCATTACAGACACATTTTAAGCCAGCTACTCAGGACTCTAAAAAGCCAGTGAAAATTACAGTGAACTTTGTCAGCGCTGATACTGCCCATAAAGTAATAAATCTCACTCATTTCAGGGGATACAAGACATGGCTTAAGAGTGACCTTTATAGCCCACAAAAACCTGCCCACTAATCACTTTCAGGAAAAAAAGGCTGTTGGTTTCAAGCCTCACTGAGGCAACAAGCAGAATTAAAGGTACAAATATAACACACAGATGGCTCCCTTCAATAAGCTGCAGATAGAAAAAAGACATCTGCAAAAGAAACTCTGCAAAATTCTGAAGTAAATAAGAATGAATAGGTACGTTCCACATTTTCACAGTTTTCAAACTTTACATCATATGTCACAGCTACAGCACTGCCAGAACTTGGACTAGGAACTTTCGTACACATGCATGGCTGGAAGAGTGAGGAGGGACGTACACCTCAATTTTTGTGCTTTATCACAGCAAGACACCACAAACATCCGATCTAAAATCTAATGAGTTGCAGAACAAATAGATATAATTATGTTATTTTACCTTACGAACTACAATTGCATCATGGTTGAGACACTGCACAAAAAATTTTATGGCACGGACAGGCAGTATCCTATCATCCCTCAGAAGCAGAGACAGAAAACCAATGCTTATGTGCTCGAACTTCCAGGGACTAGAAAAATAAAATAAATATTCAAAACAGACAGTAAGTAGCAGAGTTGCACATACTGTTTTTGCACAGAAATGTTTATACGGATTAAGATTATGTAAATATGTTTCAACTAACTTAAATAATATTCTATGCCACTGCTATAGCCAAGGAGCTTAACTGTCATTTAGCTAAAATTCCAGTGTTGTGGGAAGACACAAGTGCAATCAAATATACTCAGTTAATAGTGCCTTTTGATCTCGGCATTTCAATGTCAAATACAGAACTATAGGGATATTCTTGTTAAGTTTTTAAATACAAATATCTTGCTACCAATTAAAATCTATTCAGATGTCAGTATTATGCAGACAGAACCAGAGCTTTCTTCCCCACAACAAACAAATACTAAAAAAATAACAGGTCAAACTAATTAAAAGCAAAGCTAAACTCCAAGATGTGATGATACCTTATATTAACAAACCAAGGTCCCAATGAAAATCTCCAGACTCATTCATGTCTTTACCTAGGAGACACTAATGCCAAGATTCCCCTATACTGGCCTTTATCTTCCTGTTTGGGTAAGCAGAATCAATATGCAAATGCATGAGGATGTCCAGAAATTAAATTCTTGCAGACACCGTTACAAAAACTCTCCAAGAAGCTAGCCCAAATCCATTAAATGCAAGACCGCTACTGACAAACTGCTTTTGCACGTCTAATTCAAGGGTGAAAAAATATTCCTCAATTCTGGTCACGCTAACTGCACTTCTTGATGCAATTGACATTTATTCATGTAGCCACCTCCAATTCACTGTCTAACCAATTCTTATGCACAGAAAGGGAGACTTACAGATTTCTCTGTTCCACACAGTCCAGCAGCATGTTGACCAAATTGTCATAGTTTCTAAAGGAAAAAGACAGAATTATCAACCAGATGCTACTGAGAACCATTTAAAACAGTAAGAGTTCCTCAATGAAAAGGTGGGTGAAGGCAAGGCAGTAAACACAGCACTAACTGGGAGGACAGAGAAGAGGAGGATGAAGGAAGGAAATACGAGTGCAGAGGAAAGAGGCTGCCAAGTCAGGAGAGAAGGCACACCAGAACAATTCTCGGACATTCTGAATTTGTCGAGCTTAAGATTTAGTTAGCAATTTCAGATTAATGTACAGTAAATATCAGGCAGCACAAGCTAGTGTTAAGGGAAGTTTAACTTACTGCAGAGCCTCAGCATTCTTTTCTTTCTGTCGCTGAATTCCTAACTGAATTTCTTCTGAACAAAGGCCTGTGAAGTTTGAACTTTGTCCTGATTTTTGCAACATAACAGCTACCTCAACACATTTCTCTGGAACCTATTGACAGAGAACACAAAGATTTAGGACTGAGAAGAAACAAGTTTTTATGTTTGTGTCTGTTTCTAAATAAGAAGAGCTCAGAATCATATGAAGAGTGCAGAATCTCCTGTCCACATAGAAAAGTGCATGAAGAAGCAGGGAGGACAGCTTTTGTGTTCACACAGCAGAATTATTTCTCCAAGTAAATGTTTTATTCTATTTTAAGATAAAGACAAACTTCAATAGTTCATTAAAGCATAAAAACTGTCTATAAAAGATTTTTATTAACTGGCATTCATGCTTTAAAGTAAGTACCATGCCTTTTATCCCTCTAATTAGGCAAAAGGCAGTTGTATAATGAGTGCTGTGTGTTAGCACAGTGGGACAACACTACAAATACTGACAATGTTAATTTGATGACTACCAACACACATCTTCATGCCTCATCAGCATGACCCATACTAATGAAAACTGAAAGGCAACTTAAAAACTTCCTTTCTGTAACAGGCTTTCTTAGAGGTTAGCAAAAAGTTACAAATTCCAGTAGTACTGCAAGAAGCTCTATTACTTCAGTCTCAAAAATAGACGTCTACATTCCTCTGTAACAGACATCAGAATGTGATCAACATCAGAACACTAAGTCAAATAATATACATGAGTCTCAAGCATTTATGTGACCAAATGCTCTCAGAATCCAAGACATTAAGACCAAGCAATCTGTCACTTACTGCAAAGTCCAATCCAATTGTTTCATACTGCCTATGGATTTTTTCTGCTAGGTCATCAAAGAGTCTAACTATGGATGGTTTTTCCAAGGACATAGCTTTGCTAAGCCCAGAAGAAACAATCGCTGGCCACGTCTGTGCAATACAATCCCAATCGTGAAGATTTGCCAAACATACTCCACTGTGATTTCCAAGAAGACAATATAAGGCACCCTGCAAATTTCAAAAATAACTTTTTAAAGTGTTGTTATATATATGTGATATCTACCTACACACACATGCACCCACATAGAATAAAAAAAAAAAAAAAAAATAAATCTTCACGTTACCAAGTCATCAAAATGTGCCGTAAACATTCAGCTATGTGGCCTCATTGTCAAAATACTGAAGACTCTTCACAGAATCCTTTTCATGCTAAAGAACCATTTAATGAAACTGGAAGCCCTACCAATTCATTTATCCACAGAATGGCTGATTTCTGAATTACATTACACAGGAGATTATTAAATGCTTAAGTACCACACCTGGCCTTTCTGTGAACTTATTCATGTTCGGGCTGCAGGGAGATCATAATGCTGTTAGCTAGGCACCTGAAATGATGCTGACCGAACAGGATGTGGATAACTACTGGACACAGCACAAGAAACTGGAGAACGTGACAGGTGACTGTGTGAGAAGCTTGTCTGACAAGAGTTATACACAGCGAAGCAAAGGGAGGCTGCATTTCACAGGTGATTAAGTGGGAGTTATGTGAGAACTGGCCAAATTTCACAGGCAAATAGAAGGAAGTCTTGGGGACCTTTTGGAGAGCAGAGTCTTAACCAGAACACTACCTAGGTAACCACATCCATAATATCATATAGGCTAAGACTGCCTGGTAGCAGTATCAGAAATACCAAATTCAGGTATGGTAGCAAAGGCTGTAACTGTAGCAAAACTGGGTCCAATTTGGGGAAAAAGTAACTAAGCGTGGGTTGCTGATCTGGGAGGAGACAGAGATGGAGAAAGGGAGGTACAAGGATGGCAGAAAATAATAGTAATCAACAAACAAGAGAAGGGCTAGTAAGATACGCAAACAATGTAATCACATGCTGTATGATAGTACCTATCAGGCAGCTGGAGCAGGACAATAAGCCATAGCTGTTGTTCTGACCATACAGCAAGAGCCCAAGTTGCCTCTGTGGCCAGGAGGACTGAGGGGGGTGCAAAGGAAGGAGGGCAGCATGATGCTTTCAAACACCTGGATGGATAGCTTGCATGCTGGCATCACTGCGTCAGCACCATTTCCAGGCCTGACAGCATCAGCAATTACCCATCAGTTCGTAACAAAACCCACCTGATTTAATATAACTTTTTTGGGTGATTAACTTTTCGTCTGGTTCATGCTATTTTCTTATACTGCTACAGCTAACAGAACTGCTTCATGAGTTTTACCACCTTGGTAAACTCTCAACTTCCATTTCATAATTTAAAAATAGGTGCTAACATACATTTTTATAATACCTGAACACACAATGAAACAAGGAACATAAACACAAAATTTCTCTTGAAAACTGATCTAACCCGAATAATTCCTTGCACTAGTCACACATAAGCTATATGCCATGAAAATACCAAGTGTCACGCTGATAAACAAGCAAATCCCACTTTCACCATCAAAAATTCTTCTATAAAGACATTTTCAAAAGACAGACAGGAAACAAAGTTAATGAGACAGTACTTTAAATTGGTTTTGAGTGACATCTTGCCGGTCTGGACGCAAGAACTCCAAAACCAAGGGAATGATATCTCTGCAACAAAAATTGTGCGTTCCCAGAGCTGTGAAGAATGCTTGCTGAGCTTTACTTCTGACCTGTGGGAAGAGAAACATTACTAAAAAGTCTTCTGAACCAAAAATATACTATACAAAAATAACATACTTATCCTTTTCAGTTACTTGTGCACAGAGCTTACATATTTGTGCACAGAAACAAAATTATTTGTGTATGGTCTAATTAGCATGCTTCTCCTCACCCTTGCTCACAGTTGTTTATACTTCTTGTTTCTAGCATTTACTTGAGAACAGCTACAAAGTTAAAGAAAATTCTTTATGTTGCCAAAAATTGTCAATGTGTTTTCAAGATCATTTGAAAAGCAAACAGCTAGAACAACAGATGCAGTTGGCAGAACTCTGAAGAGCCTGTAAATAGTGGATGGATCTGAATTTATATACAGACACGGAGTTCCCACTGGGCAGAGTTCAGAATCCAACTGTCGACACACTTGTCTATTTTTAAGAACTAGGATGCCATCATAGCTACTTCCTAAAAGTAGACTTATCATTCCAAATAGCGTAATGAGTCATATCACATCTAAAAACCTCAACCTGGAATATTTTTATTAATTTTTTATTGAATTATTGCTTTTAGAAGCCTAGAATTTGGTCCCTCAAAAAATTTAAAATTTCTGACCTACGTTGGCAGCCTCCCCACCCAGTTAAGTTCTTTATTTGACAAAGACAGAGCTTAAAGCAAAAACTATGCCAAAATTGGCAACTAATGCAAATGAAATATATAAATATTTCACATTGCCATGGAAACAAATTGAAAAGCAAAGATCCCGAAAACCTAAATTGAAGATATCAACAAAAAAGTACATATATTTCAGTTTAAAAGGGGTTGTTCCTTACCTGACCATATGAACTCGTGGACAAACACAAAAGATCTCTGATCATCTCCTGGTGGGAGGTTTTATATTCACAGCCTTCCATTGTTAGTGTTCTCAGCTAAATTGCACAGAAAACACAAATAAAGGACGGATCGTTTTTACATTTCACACACGTAAGACAAAGACCAGTGCAGGATTACTGCATTTTTTGCTAAATGATAACATAACAAATCAGCTTTTCAAGTGAAGCAATCAGTGAAGATTTAAGTGAAGGTATTACCTCATGCTGCAACATAACTCTGTCTATCAGCAGGGCTCTGATATGTTGTTTCTTTCCTTGAAGCTGTAAACAAATACAGAACTGGGTTTAGATTTCAAAACTGGGTTTAAATTTCAGTATGAATATTAGCAATTTGTACTGACTGAAATCCCCATTTACGCTTTCTCTTCTACAAACAGGCAAATTTGATGTAGAAATTCTTCCTGGCAGACAATCTTGATTTTTTGCCCTGGTAAAGTTTTTTTTATTTGTATATTAGTCCGTAAGCAAAGGAAGTTGTGGTCACAGAAATTTCTCAGTTCACAAGCACCAGAATGGAGCATCACGCTAAGTCTCAGGCTCCGGTCCAAAGATATACACAAGTTGAGGGTTACTACAATTCAGAAATGCTAAGCTATTTACTCATAAGATTTCCAAATAATGGTACAAAACAACTGCAAAACAGTATTCTTATCAAGGAATTAGATTTCCAAATTATGAAAACTGATTATTACAGTATGAAAAATATGAAGGAAGTCTTTCTGAACACTAGCAACTATTTCCATCCCTCACCTAAGTTTTAGAAAGCAAAATCACTGACCCTGTTCTCCATTGATTTTTTCACCAGGTTAAAGCTTTTCCATCGTGAATCAAACTCGTGCTTGTGAGACCCTTGGAACTGTAAAACGTCACTAATAATCTGTAGAAAGAAAAAGGTGACAAAGTGATTATTTTGGAAAACAAGTAATCTTAAGTATTACAAATTATAAATATACCTTTATTATTAGAAATAAAGACTTGGTGTCATCTTCTGAATTATCAAGTATATAGCCTGCAATTGGAATAAAATTATTATCAGGAAAAGAGCTTAAAAAATGATCAGTAATTTTATTTCTACAAAGTTTAAATTTAATAATTACAGACAAAGTAAACAAAAAAGTTTCTAATCTATAAAATTATACTTAAAAGCACAACATAATACTTTTTAAATAGAGGAGTGGTTAAACTTACGCAGCAACTTCCTTGTAACCCTTGCAATTGTTTCACGATAATTATCTCTTGATAAATCTACAAAAAAATTAAAAATTTTCTACTATACAATAGCATAAAAATCAATTTATAGATAAATAAACCAGTGTAAAGTCAGAGCAGAATATTCAGAAATGGTAGTATGGACTATTGTAGACATAGACATCTCATTGTATCTAAGGACACTTTCTTCTGTTTATCAAGTCAAGAGTACGTTTCTTATAGGTACATACCCTGCTTTATCTGCCTTCACAGCTGGCTTCATTTCTCACCACAGACCGAGGCAGATTGTTTAGCATATGAAAACTGAGTAACACATTAAGTAGGGTAAAAAAGAATGTCAACAGAATACAGATTTTACGCATCAGGTGATCAAACCAGTAGAACACTAGGGACTTTATAGCCCTTCAATACATGGAGGGGAACAGATGTTCCCAATGTAAACAACACAAAAGGCAGAAAAAAGAAGGATCAATAATACAAGCAACCTCCTCGTAAAGTTTTAAACCAGAATAATCTTAACTGCTGCAAAAGACCACTAAATGAAAGCCCATTCTCCATTACATGTTACATGGCTACAAACTCACCACCTGGAAACTAAAGGACAAGATTACAGAAGTAGTATTAATGCACCTAAAACCATTTAATAGTCTGATAAGCTGTTACTGTATGCCTCAGTTCCTTATTTAAATTGCCCATCTTCACTTGGAAGATGGTGAAGAATACAAACAATAAAGCTTGAAAAATGCAGTCTTCCTCTAATGGAGCTGTCACAGCCTTCAGCAGGTTACGCCTTGATTCCTTCTGTCTCTCAAGTGCAGTCCTGGGGTGATGGGTGTTGCTTCCTGCACCTTGGAAGCACAGGGGCCCAAGCATTCTGACCTTGGGGTTGGACCTGAGCTCCCATTCCCAGCCATATTATTGCAGCAGATTTATATCTTGTATACCATCGCTGAAGATGAAACAGTGTCTACACAAGAATTTGTGTTGGCCAAAAAAGTGCATTTAATATAAAGAAAAGAATCAAACTTCTTGTCTCAAAAAGAACATACTGTTTTTACAGCAGGAAAAAAAGAATGAAAACAACACTTACAACCTGTCTGAACAGAACGAGGATCTACTTACCATATTCAACACCAGTGTACAGTTTTGTCTCTTCCAAAGACACCATACTTGGGACCCTGCACGAAAAAAAACCCCTAGTATTAGTACACATTGTGGAAATCATTGACTACATGAATTTCATTGACATTTAATTCATTTTAACAAGTCAAATTTCATGCCAGTAGTGCCAAAGATGTTTGGATTTACTAATAGTATGCTTCAGTTCTAACAGTTATAAAACAAGCATACCTATGGGTTGGACTGTTTCTCACAGATGAGTACACCATAAGGACACCACCTTGAACCCAGAATCTTGATTTCTCATTGAACAGAACCTCATTAGTTCTGTTAAAACAGCCAGAGATTTGGTCTCGTTGTCAAATCTATGAACACTCATCAAAACAAGCGTAGCTCCTAGTCGTCCTAGTCTAAGAGGAACAAGCGAATTTGAATGCTAAGGCAGAATCCTTTCCTGACAAGTTAAGATGATGAAGCTTTTCCGACTTTGGTCCTTTCTTTATAAAGTCACATACCTATTATCTACAGAAGTCCAACTTCTTGTTATACGAAGTTCACTGTTAATGAAAGTACCAAAAAATAAAGCCATGCTTCTTCCAGGATTTGGGTCAAAATTATATTCTCAAAATATTTTTTTAAAAGTGAATTCTTAAGTCTTTGTGGATTTGCTTTTATGCAACCATGCACAAAAACATAGACTCAGCTATCACACACCAATGAATTTAAAAGACATAAGAAGATACACTTGGGGTTTTTCCTGTGGTTTTGTTTTGGTTATATCACAGAATCACAGAATGTTCGGGGTTGGAAGGGACCTCTGTGGGTCATCTAGTACAACCCTCCTGCCGAAGCAGGGTCACCTACAGCAGGCTGCACAGACCCTTGTCCAGGCAGGTCTTGAATGTCTCCAGAAAAGGAGAATCCACAACCTCCCTGGGCAGCCTGTTCCAGGGCTCCGTCACCCTCAGAGGGAAGAAGGTCTTCCTCATGTTCACACAGAACTTCCTATGCTTCAGTTTGTGCCCGTTGCCCCTTGTCCTGTTGCTGGGCACCACTGAAAAGAGTCTGGCCCCATCCTCCTGACACCCACCCTTCAGATATTTATAAGCATTTATTAGGTCCCCTCTCAGCCTTCTCTTCTTCAGGCTGAACAAGCCCAGCTCCCTCATCTCACAGTAGAGATGCTCCAGTCCCCTCATCATCCTCGTAGCCCTCCGCTGGACTCTCTCCAGTAGCTCCTCATCTTTCTTGAACTGGGGAGCCCAGAACTGAACACAGTACTCCAGATGAGGCCTCACTAGGGCAGAGGAGAGGGGAAGGACAACCTCCCTCGACCTGCTGGCCACACTCTTCCTAATGCACCCCAGGATGCCATTGGCCTTCTTGGCAGCCAGGGCACACTGCTGGCTCATGGTTAACCTGTCGTCCACCAGCACTCCCAGGTCCCTCTCCACAGAGCTGCTCCCCAGCAGGTCCACCCTGAGCCTGTACTGCTGCATGGGGTTCTTCCTACCCAGGTGCAGGACCCTTAAACCTATAATCTCAACACCTAAAACATTAAGGTAGACAAATTCAAGCTTTCAAGGACAAAATACACCAGAGTATGATATTAAACAAATAGTATCAGCAAGTAATCCGTATAATCCTCACACAAAATTGCATTGACAGTATAATCAGAATAAACAAAGCTAAGTGAAGAAATGTGAATCTACTCTGATTACAAATACAAAATAACACATCAGAAAACAGTACAGATTCTGTATCTGAGTACGTGCTATGAGATACTAAAATAAATTTTCATATTTCAGGCAAACTTCTGTCTGTCAGAACCATATATAAGGGTCATGTTTCTCCTGTAAAAGTGAACACTTTAAAACATGAGTGGTAAATTATTGTGCTGATTAGATGAAGGAAAAAAAAATTGCAACCAAAAGTTAGGTAAACTGACTTCATAGCCCTTGTGACAGTCACATCTGCACCAACAAAAGTCAAACTTAAAACATCTTTTTCTTAATTGACTTAGACATCAAGAAGTGAGGTCTTAATTTCATTTTCCTTGTTGCATTTCCGGTAGTGCTAGGTTAACTTCAAAATAAGTCATTCCAAAAGTCTTCCCACTTCCTCCCCCCCTCAACTCAGCAGTGGCATAGGTGCTTAAGGTACAACTTGGCATAGGTGCTTAAGGTACAACTAATACAATTCCCAAAATACCCAACATCGATCCAGTACCTTGGTCCTGAATATATAAACAAATACAATTTTTTTATGGTTTCTCATGCTTGCCCTTTTAGAATCATCTACATGATTGACTTTGAAAGTTTGCCATGTATTTCTCCAAGATCAGATCTTTCCAGCTGGGAAGGTACAGAGAGGGATTATTTTTGCAATTAACAGGGGGTGGGGGAGTGGGAAGAGTGAACCTTCCCACCCCAAATAGTATTATTTCTTTAAAAAAGAAGGTAACAGATAAATCCAACAAATCTCAGACAGCCACACATTAAACAATTACTTTTTTTTTTTTGGTACAGTATGCTGGATAGGTTGATAGGTAAATTTACTCTTAGCAGTAATTTTTTCTACAGTATTTTAATGTATTTTACCCTTAAACAGTTTCCTCTGATATAAATACACAAATTAAGTTCACCTAAGGCTTTCCTATGTATGAGGCAAGGAAAACTGAAGTGCAATTTCCAAGTTTTCCCTCAGGTAGACTACAGAAAGATTACAAGTCTTCATGCTTCTTTCCCACTCGCAGCAAAACGTGTTCAACTGTTCTCTGCCAGCTAGCCAAGTTCCAAACCAAATCTCTAATATTTAAAACCAAGGAAAAACAACACTCCAAGCCCTCTCTTGAATTCAGGTTCCTGAGCAAACCTGGAGTAACAACTCAACACAGAGCATCCAGTAATCAAGAAGTAGCCTGGTGTAGTCCTTACACTCACCGTAAGATCACTCCACAAACAAGAACCATTTATTTCAACATGGTTACTAACAGGATGAAGATACTATGTTCAAAATGCAACAGTTTTATAGCTGGCCCACAAACTAAGATCCGTGCTAGTTCAGCATTATAGGTGTCAGCCGCTGAGCCAGAGAAAACTAAATGTTTTAGTTCAGACACACAAAAGGAAGAGGCACGAAATGTTTTTCTCAACTTCAGTCAATACCGATAGCAAGACTCTCACGACAATGCTTCATGCAATGTATAAAAAATACTGTGCTTCATTCTGTAACAACACTTTTCAATGCAAATTGCCAAGAAAATTTACGAACAAAGAGCATCCAAAATTGTAGCCGGAATACAAACCCAATTAAACAGAACTTTGAAGAATTCATTCCCTTATTTGTCACAGTACAAAAACTAAAGCATCTATTTGAGAAAACTGATGCACTATGTTTTTCAACTTCCAGACACTCTACAGAACACTTTATTCAAGTCTCTGTGTACATACTGCTCAGTATCTAAGTACAGTTTGGCAATCAGACAGAGCTGTTCAGAATCAAATAGCTTTTATCATCACTCCACTGAACCAATTGCAGAGGAACTTTTTCTAATTGTGAAAACACCCTGTCCCATGTTAAAGACTAGATCAAGGGCTGCATCAACCTACTTTGACATAAGAGATTAAGAGACAATAGTCAGAATGTGAACAAGGAGAAAACAGGGTTACTCACCGTGGAGGAGTAACTGTTTCCTTTTCTGTGTGCAGCTCCCCCAGCAGAGCTGGGAAGTTTCCTGGAGATGCCAAGAGAGGTTAGCTAGCCCTGCCCCTCAGCACACGATATCACATCCTTACACATTTAAAAAAAGTGGTCTTACCCTTGACCTGTAGTCTGAACACCCTCAGTGAAAGGACATTAAGAAAGCTCCTACCAACATCTGTTGCAAGATTAGAGCAATACTGCATTCCAGCTATTCAAGCTGTATTTAAGAGGAAGACAACAAATTAATGTTCTGTAAGTAACACTGTTTTTGCTTCCCTAAATCAGCTGCTTAGTGTTACCTTGTTAATAAGTAGGCTGCAAGGAAGGGAAGCAAAGTGAAGGGGAACTCAATTGAACATCATTGAAAGATTTCTCAACCTCAGAGTGCTTTATACTGTCTGCATTTGAAATAATCTATTTGCACACCATTACAGTCATCACAACAAAAGGAGATCAATATTACTTGCAATTACAGTGGCCCCTTAAGAAAAAGGGGTAGACTGCGTGCGCGGAAGCACTATCTATACCTGCACACACCTCGTGTAGCAGAGCAACCATTATGTTGCATTTCTGCAGGCGCAGAAAAAACCTGTGTATTCATTTTTACCCAACTACAATGGGATAACTAGCCACAGCTCTGACTACGGCTTTGAACACCTTAACTCAGCCACAAAAAACTACCCCTGTCATAAAGGATTGCTCCTCACCACATCTGGCAGCCGCCTCAACTCCTTTTTTCCATTCTCCTTCTAACTGTCCATTCTGCATTAAAAAAAAAGTAATTCACAGAACACACCTGAAATCAATGGCATCTCTACTAAAGATTAAGAACACCAGGTGGAATAATAATATAAATACACACTATTGAGTCATTAAATAGTTTTCTATTCATTTGTTATGCATGGCACTTCCGAAGAGAATTCATTCATCCTCCAAAAAGAGATGAAGTTTAAATTCCTTGCTACTTACAGGACAAAAACATAAATTCAACACCAAGTGACATTTATTTAAGTTCTATTTTCTACTGAAATTTAACTATTCTTTTCAATTCTGACAAGTTTCAATTATGCAGTTTATTTGCGCATGGATTGTGCACAATTTTCTACTGAATTGCCTACCATCTCCCTAAACACCTGCTCATGTATGAAACATTCTCAGTAACACTAAGCACTTAAAATAGCATGAGCTATTTTTTAATTAATCTATGTTGGGATTTTCAGGAAGATATAAGTTATTCAGGTCATTCATGTAAAATAGATGTAGGAATTTTGCTCCCAAAATTCGGAAGAAAAAAAAAATTTAAAAATCGCAAACTACGTACAAGAACTGCTTAGGCTCTGAAAAAGCTGGAACATTATGAAACCTAAACCTTTTGTGCTCAGGTTCACTAAACAATGAAATCACTCTTCAAGCACTTCACAACAGCTATGCTGATGTGTATACCGAGTGTGTGCATGTACACACGCACAAGAATGTATACTTCTGGGTATACTGAGCATACCCAAGTCAAGTGTCAGTCAATTTAACAATGTTTTTTCTGTACTAAATATATCACTCGTCAGTTCGGAGACAACCAGTCATCAAAAGATGAAAAAAACTAATGAGAGAAACTAATGAAACAACATAAAAACATTAACCTAGATTGACAGGAGAGTCAAGAAAGCTTGTGTTAATGTACACACTTGTAGATAAACAGGAGTTTTGAAACCTTTCCTCTAACTAGTATTTATTAAGCCATGAAAATAAGGGCACAATTTGATTCTGTCTAACAAGCAAAACACACAAGACCAATGCTGGGGAATTCCATTCAGTTTCAGCTTTGTCAAACAATAAATAAAAATAAATTAAAAAAAAAGAAACCAACATAAAAACTTTGTATATTAAATATTCAAGAAGCAAATCTATTTTCAATAGCTACTAAATAAAATAAACTGCTGAGACACAAAACAGACTATTCTTAACAAGGAGAAATGAAGACAGACATTTTTTAATTTTTGGGTATTCTCGGGTGTTTTGACACTGAGGAACAATAAACCTGTAGAAGTCCATAGAAATGGACCAAGTGACTTCCCACAAAACTTTTCAAGATGAAAAGTTTCTGTCACTGAACAGTGCAACAGACTTTTCAACATTATTTCCATAAAACGCTGTTGATGAATTGTAATACACTATCTATAATCAAACAAAACAGAATCCTAGAAGTACTACTACAGTAAAACATAGTAGTCTTCATGCTAGTGGAGACGCCTTATATTTGCAACAGCTCTGTTCTCCTACTGTAGAAGTAACTTCAAAAGAATTATAGCAACAAAACGTCAAGCAGCAAATAGTTACCGTGTTAGTGGAAAAGCAGTCTCATACATTCATCTCTGCAATTTATTTTAAAGCAGAAAGTTTTAGAACTTCAATCCAGACCCCTTCATTTTCTTCTCCCAAAACAGCGTTCCCAACTTTTGTTATATTCTCATCTCTCTAGAACACTATACAATTTACATAATACTATGATTTAAAATTTATCCATCCAAAAACCCCTAAACTTCTCATCTAATGCATGGGAATTTTATGCAACACCACAGGTCAATTATGACAACCAATAATGAAATAAGCATTTGGCCAGCTTGTGACATCTGTGACATACAGTCAATATATAATTCCCATAATTAGTTCTCCCTGTTACTTAAACAAAAAACTCCTTCTCCCTCAGTCCAGTCATCTTGCTTCGTACTAGCCACTGTTATGACCAAGTCACTTAATGATCAAATCAGGTACAGTGGTCTCACGCTGTTGCAGCCTGCTCCTAATGAAGAAAGCAGCCTTTCTCCTTTATTCCCACCACTGCCGTCCCATGCCTGTCACCCAAGCAAGATTGCAAACAGACCCTAAAAACAAGGTCTGCAAATATTTGGGCAGCTTTCAGTTGTCACACAGAACAATAAACCCCACACGTTTGGAGAAAAAAAAGCATCTTGGTGGCAGGGGCAGCCTGCAGGCAGAGTTCACAGTCCTAACTGAACCACCATATCTAGTTCATCATCCTGCTGCACACAAAGTTTCAAAGTTCATTCTATCCACACACTACTTCCGCTGAGGTTCAAATTCCATAGCTCCAAGCTCTCCCCCACCTATGTGACTTTCATTCAGTGAGCAGGCTAGAGGATTATAAAGGAACACACACTCATTATCTGTCTTTCTTAGCAAGAATCTTCAGGTATCTTTAACCACCCAGATGAAGGAAAATCTAGCAGTTACACCCACTCAGCTCTACTTCACAGCCAGCACAAATAACAAAGCTGTACTACATGATGTGTGATCAGCTATGGTTCATTAGAGTTAAGTGGCATAGGAGGCATGTGACGAGAAATCTCATGTGCTAGTTTGTTTTAGAAGTATACATGTAGAGTTTTTTTAACTTAAATATATCAAGCCATTTACCATTACCCACACCCAAAAATATTCTAATACTGTCACTTCAGGACAGTGAATATCATCACCACTAGCGGTAAGTACTAACTGTGAATACACAGTACTTAAAATAAAGATATTCTGGGTATGACTTAACTACTTTCAATAAAAGCTTTTCAGTTTCAAAACTGAATGCTTCATACGCATTCCCACTATGTATAATGAGAAAAGGTTTGACAATGTAAACTGCTATCTTACAAAAAAATAACCCAGGAACTCACAATACAGTAACAACTAAAATCAAATTCTTCTTTTGTTTTAATAGCAAGTTCATAAAAAACCAGCTTCTACATTCAAACTGGATATGATTTTTATGGGCATATGGGACAGAGAACAGTATTCACATGAAGCTGTTTCATACTGCTTTTTAAATCAAAAGGTATCTTCCTCATTACAAATATTCCAGTTATTTCTTGGGGAAGGAAGAGGAGGAAGTAAGGCAATGGAGAGGACATCTTCCTTCTTGGTACAATTCCTTTCTGCAACCCTTGCTTACATACAGTAAACCATTAAAACAGAATATACATTTTGTAAGAATGAACACACCTCACTAGAATGAACACCATCTGTCTCACATGGATGAATTCAGCCTCATCTCTCAAGACGCTAAATTGATATTCAGCTTTATAAAATTGTTCTTGCTAAGTACATTGAATAAACTGACACGGATCCAATATTTACTTGATATGAAGTGCAAAAGGATCTCCTTAAAGTATTTAGTCCACCCTACTAAGCCGAAGTACAACCCACTGTGCACATACACACCCTACTTCCCTCAGATTGACTCCTTCATTAAAAATCCATGTTCTGTTTGTGATAATTTAAATCATACAAAGAGTAAGAACTAGAGCTTAGTTAAACAACATTCATTTAACTTCGGCAGGCAAATTCCAGACTCCTGTGCAAAGTAAAGATAAATTGCCTTAAGTACGTTTTTCAAAAGCCTTAATGTAAACCCTGTTGACACGGAGCAGAAGATGTTTCATCAACATGCATAAAGTCCGTCCAGAATCAGATAATGGTGGATTGTGCAGCTCTGCAGACATTTAGTAGAACAAACTATTGAGTTCCAAAATTCAGATTATGTGAGAAAAGTCTGATTTTGATTCTTTAGTAACAAATTGATTTCAGCATGTTCTCATGTAAACTGTCTATATGTAATAAGGCAGCACAGATAACCAACAGAATGAAGCAAACCTTCCATAAAGTATACAAGCAATTTAGAAATTGATTATAGACTGATGTCCTAATCCGTACATTAAGAATTTACAGACTTTGCCCAAAACACCCACACCCGAACAACAGCAGAAACAGTCTACATGAACACATTCTAACAACAGCTGCAATTCACTCTTCACAGGCAGTGAGGTTTTCTCTTGTACCAAATGAAGCTTCAGTTATTGACAATCAGATAGCCTACAGGGGTATAAAACTGCTTGCTCTTAGACAGGTGTTATTTCTTTGATTAATAGATTACTATAGCTACAACAGATATTTTTTTTTTTTGGTGGTGGTGTTAAAGACTTTTTGGGCCCAGACAGCCTTGTATTTTGAAGTTCAAGGCATCCAAGAACAAAACATCCTTCTCCTTTGAAGGACCAACAGCAGAAGCTCTGTCCTTGAACCCATGACCCATGAGAATTGCAAACATCCAGTGCTTGCTGCCTAGCAGATGCCAGGGCACGACTGAGACTGAATCAAGAAGCAATACCAACATTCTCCCGCATTTTCCCAATATGGGCCAGCAGCACATTGCTCGTACAGGAACAGTCAATGCCTCCTGAAAGGTGCTGTGTCCTTATTTTCTAAGATAGACATGATTAGCCTGAATGCCCTGCACTGCCTCTTGAATTAAAAGATTACTTCCCTGAATGTCTTACAACAGTTGATGGTAAAACACAGCCTCTACAAAGCCCTCCAGCTTAACAACTATTCTAACATACACTCAAGAGGAGCCTCTCCCACAGTACAAGAAGCTCACAGAAGCTAGGCACCTAAATTAATGCATTTGAGACTGTGTCAATGCTCCTTGGCACGTCTAGTAGCTGGCACTTGGGCATAAAAAATCTCAGGAACAACTTTATAGTCACCAAATACAGACTGTGGCCATAACCTTAATCGAAAACCTTGGTATTTTAAACATGACGTATAACAACAGGAATACTGACATAAAACTCGTAATTGCCTCTAACAATATTTCAACATACTTTCTCAAAGAAGTCTGAGCTAAAGCAGCAATCTCATCTATTAAAACATAGTCTGTTACAAAGCCTGAACTACTGTAATATAATAGAAAGTTCCTATTACTTCCAAAATGAAAGTTTACTCAAGCAATTTTGGTAGAGTTCTACTGTATGCTGGCACCAGTAGCCAGGTTCTGCTGTGACATTATTCACAGGGGTTAGAGCATTTTGATGGGACTTATTTTCTATTTTAATATGAGAAGATAGCCGGCAAGAAGTTAAGTTCAGAAAGTTTATGACTTTACTTGTTCAGAGTGACAGGAACATTAGTAAGACGGCAGTGCACTATGGTTTGAAGGCTTCTTTTAGAGAAGGAGAAACATATGAATAAATGCCTATCTTCCATTTCCTTTATGTAAAGTAGCATCAGTAATGCAGTGCCGTCACCTACCTTTTTTAAACATTTTCAGTCTTGCATGAAAAATAGCACTTAACATTCTTTCATGTTTTAAGTACTCTAGTGTTTCTGTAAGTCACTATTTCAAATTTCTGTATCTTTATACTAGAACGAGATCCTTAAAGACAGCCACTAGAATCAGTTGTGTGGTAACAGCAACAGGAAAGCACTAAAACCCAGTATGAGCTAATGTAATTAGTAACAAAGTTTGTGATATAAAAATAATTTTTACTTACAGATGAGCCACTCTTTCTCCTTTCAGAGGAGGCAGAATGTTCCCAGAACCGATCAAGCAGTTATGCACTATAGCAAGACATTGCTGCACATCATCCCTTAAACAAAGAAGAAAACCCGATTACTTATCAGTTAAATGCTTGAAAATACACAAATGATAAACCCTATCTTTTCTGTGAAATTTTGTAAAAGCTTTTTTCTTTAGCTGTATCAGTTCTAAACACAAGATGGAGCGCTACAGAAATCAAGCTGTGCTTTTTTGAGCCAACCTAATTCTATCACAGAATTCCAACATTCAACTTTCTGAAAAGCTTGTTTTGGAGATTTTGTATTCTGAAGCTATGAAGACAACTTCAGTATAAGAGGATAAACTATTCTCAAAACAGACAGCTTTACCCCAAAAAGTTGTTTTGCAGAATTTGACTTAAATCTCAGCTAAAATCCCTGAAATAACTCCTCACCCCAAGGCCAAGAAAAGTCCTTCGCACCATGAGTATCATGAGGGAATACTTTCTTTATGAGTGACTATTTTACAGGCTCAAGATCAATTATAATGCAACAATGTGAACAAACTTTTAATGTGTTAAAGAATTAAGCTTTTAAAATAATTCCTATCTCATCTAACTTAGTAGCCTTTAGTTACAAATTTTGCCCTTTGTTCTTGTCTTTGTGGTAAGCAGCTCTGATTTGTAAAATAACTCCTTTCAACCCCCTTAAGATGCTCTTTACTGAAGAGCTCTTCATACTCATGCATGACTTATCAATTCTCTAAATACATGCGTTGAACAAAGGCTACTAGAATTTTTCATTTTATCTTTTGTAATAGAAAATCTTACTCTGAAGCTCCTAAATATATAAAAAATGTTTGATTTCTAATTATTGCTTAGTGGAATACTGGAAAAAAAGAAATTTGACATGAATTCAAGCTCCAGGAATATTGCAATTCAAAATAATAGCGGGCTCATCTAATACCCCATTTATTCACACCTGTTACTCCCTCTGCATCTAATGGTATTCTCTACTCTGGCAGCTGTGCTATCTTGCCTTCCAACTTAATTTGCAATTCCTGCACTTGGCTATATTCTCCCAAATCACCACCATTTATTTCTGTTAAGTAATACAGTAAAGCCTTGACCAAATCAAAGTCCAATCCTGTTACAAATTAACAGCTTTACATACAAGGTATCAAAGAAAAATACGCAAGAAATAAACACACAAATCAACCAAATGCTTAAATAGTAAGTACATCCTTTCTTCTTTTAGTCTAAATATACTTTCTGATTGCAGTTTGGTGGCATTGATTTGTCAAGCATATATTGTCTTTCTCAGAAAAACAGTGGGAGCTTGGGTCAGACAGGAAAAAAAATAGGCATGTGATACACCATGCCCTGTTTCAAGTAGGGCTGCACTTTATAGCACGAGGTATAACATCACATGCTATGAACATCAACTGAAGTATATATAGCTTCAAGGACACGAAGGTTTAACATGAGAAACAAAGAATGTTCAAGATTTAATGCTTGTCAACAGCTTTAGCTATTTGATACTTGTAAATGCTTTAGCACATACTAAACTCATTATTATCTTGTGCTTCGGAAACTAAACTTATGAAGCCACGGTTTCACACTAACAGAGTTTAACAAGACTAGGCAACGGTACTCTTGCCTCCGTTCCTATTTGTTATGGCACCGACTCTGCATTACCTCTTCAAGTTTCAACACTGCCACTTTTTGCAGGGACACACTATGTACTGAATCCATTTACTCATAGGAAGGAAATGGAGAGAGGCAGATTTCCAAGCCAAATCAATTCTGTGTTCCACTTCATAGCTTAGGAACACAAATGGCTGTGCCAAAACATGATAAGAGTCTAGAGGAAGAGCTTTTTTATTGCCAGCTACAGTTAAATGGAAACATAATTTGTGGTATGTATTTTAAAAAAATCTGGAACAGAAAAGTCTTTATAACAACACAAAGTGTCTTAAGATTTTATTTTTTTAAAGAGCTGTTCTGCTCAAAATAATGTTACCTATTTTATGAACTGCACTTCCAAGCTACATGTACTCTTGAGAGTTAAAAATCTTGGAAGTCTTGAAATAATATTGAAGACAGTGTAACACTATATTATGTTACTCCTTAATTTTTGTAGTGACAGTATGTTTGGCAATAGCTAATTAATACAGACATGAGTGGATAAATGCACCTTCTCTGTACTACGTATCACCACCAACCTGGACATTTCTAGGTTTCCAACTGCATAGTGCTCTAGTCTGGTGAGCTCAGGCTGCAGAAATGTGTCCAGCAAATAAAAAGCGAAATTTATTTCCTCAGATGAAGGAACATGCCACTGGATGTCCAAGTTCCACAGGTCACCCGGTTTACCCCAGTCCTAAAGTAAAGACATTGCTTATTAATCAAACTATGGAGCAAATGGTCTTTTGAAAAAATTAACATTTAGTATTACTTAAAAAAAACCAAAAAACCTCCAAACACATGAACTAGCTACTGCTGTAAAGCAGTTATCCTGACAATTTCAGGGAAAAAAAACACCCCACAAGAACCCAATAAAACCAAACAGAAGTCTCAAACCTACTATAATGTCTACATGTACCTGGAAAATAACACATACCTGAAAGGTCTAAAAGGAAAAGGACTATACAGGTCTAACTGAAATATATCTTTATTATTCCTTTGTCTGGATACAAATTCACAAATATCGCCAAGTATAACTCAGAATTTTGGTACTCCTATGGAGAATGTAAAGAAGCTAGCCCATTTATCATACTTCTTTTCAGTTTGGAACCACAGTCAGGAAACTTCATACTTTCATTTTAAAAATAAAAAAAGAAAGCTAAATTTTAAGTTGGACTTTCCATACTATGCTAGGTCATCCCATAACAAAGACAACTTTTTAAATTTTGGCTTACAAAGAGCTCAGACTTGCTATAGGATTAACAGCACGAGTATTTGGAAGAGAAAAGTCAGTATTTATTACTAATTAATAGACAGGCCTTTGCAGTCTTCACTTCCCATTTTCCTGTCTTTGTCCAATTTTACATGGCAATTTCATATTTCAAAACTTCACCATCTGTTCTTAAAACACCTGATTGATCTGACTGGACAAACAGTACAAAGAACTACAGTAATACACTTAGTGCAGCCTGCTATTACATTTCTTCCTTGGAAGAGCAGGCTAGTCCTCCATGAATATTACTTGAGAAAGTGACAGAACTGCAGTTTTACACTGAGGCAGGGAATCAAGCATTTAAGGGACAAACTCAAGCTGCTAATGGGAATTAAGAGTTGATACAGTATATACTTTCTAAAGTAGCCAATGATGCATGGAACAGTGAAGTAATTGTGATTTTCTTCAATTTCAGAGACGAACTTAAAAAAATATATATCTATTTTTGTGTTGGAGCAATGAAGATTTTTTTTGCTTGGTGTTAAAGGAGTATCTGGCCCAACTGGATGTTCCCATCAGTTTATAAAACTGTACTATCTTTCAGTAACAAGCATTAGATTGTCTGCAGCTGTGAAGTTACGTGAACAAACACTTTTAAGTAAAATGCAATTCTATATTCAAATAGGCAAGCTGAAAACTGCTGCACTGTTCATCTGTAATACTGACAAATTGACCTCAAAGTCTTAACAGCAGACTAGCATATTAATCAGTTTCAGTAATTTTTAATATTGCCTTTTCTACTTTCATTTTATCTCAGCTCAGTGCAGAATCATTGTTCATTTGTTATTCTGCCTACCTGTAAAATACCATATCTTCTGTCTTGCAATTGTTTTGCACTGATGTACTCATTTTTCCATGCACTCACCATTACTTGTTATATCTGATAACCACATTTCTATGAAGAGGAACAAGGAAAGGCTGCAGCTCTCAGCCACAAAAGCAGATGAAAGACTAATTTTGTCGCAGTGCAACAATTGCTTCCTCTGATTGGGTATTTAAGTGAACAGAAAAATTCTCCTGCTAAACTCCAAGCTTAACTATTTATACCACTGTACTTCATGATAGCTGGGTGTCAATTAAATGCATCATATATTACAAGACTAAGAAACATGAGCAGGCACTCTTGTTTTGCATTATCTTATTGTAGCTATGCAATCATTGTAAAACACACATTGTAAAACACTGATATGATATGCTATAAAACTACTCAAAACAACAGCCAGTATTCATTTTTTGCTATCAATATAATTAACTTCTAACTTGCTACACATTTCAAAGCCCAAATCATCTTTCAATTACACTTCCCACTGCTGCTACATATGTTCAGAAATCTCCAAATAAAAACAAATAAAGTGTATGATTGTTTTTTTTAAAAAAGCAAGTCAAGTCCTCTAATCCTAAATAAATGAAAATCCTTGCCTTGATAGGAAAGTATTCAGAAAGAGGCTTGTCAAAGCCACCTGGCACACTGCAGTACTCTGTGGGGTAGATAAGTGTAGCAGAACGAAGAAGATGGTGCAGTAGGTTACAAGACAGAATGTAACCCTGCTTACAGGTTAAATGTAGAGTTCGCTGCAGTATCTTCCCAAGCTGCTCCCTGTATGGTAGCAACTTCTTTCCATCCACTCGAGTGATCTGATAGGAAAGACAAACGTTTCAAAGATAAACATAATCAATTTTCTTCTAGAGGACGAAAGAGAGGATCACACTGCTCAACCGATCTTGTATCAAGTTCCATTCTGTATGTCACATTGAATTAAAATTAAATGCTGAACCTACACATGAACTTCCACTGTTGTAGGAAAAGTTTAAGTAAAGAACTCTGATACACATTGCTTCTCGACTCCATTCAAAATTTTCCAGCAATACTCGTACACATTCTGAAATCCATCTAAAACAAATTTATCTTTACCAAAAGCATCTTGTTTTTCTCTGCATTGATTCCCCTTCTTTCTCTATACTTCAATAACTGTACTAAATGCTTTAATTTTTTTCCACATACATACTGCATGTTTATTTTGTTCAAACAGCAGCCGCTTTTGTCCCATTTAAAGTTAGAAAAGAAGTTATGCAGTGTCACTCATACAACTTTTACTGTGTCTTAATAGCAGAAGTTTATTTTCTTCCTGTTTCAGTGGCATTAAACAGGATTCAACAATTTACATGCATAGGAAGAACATTCTTTGCAATACCTCTGACAAAAGCTGAAGATTCCAAAGCAGCTCCTTATCTAGCTCTTCATCACGTAATACATCATCATCTAGAGGAACAAGTGATAAGCACTGCTGTAACGATACTGCAGGCAAGTTTTCCAAACAAGCTAAATCATAAACCAGATGCTTGCATCCCAAAAGTTTACTCTCAACCCCTCTATTGCAACCTTATAATGCATACTGCACCCACGTCCAACTGGAAGTTACTTTAGCCAGTTAAATATCTTGAATGCTTTCCAAGAAATTGAGGAATGTCTGGAGACATTTTAAACTATCACTTTTTTAAAGAAGCATGCTCCTGTAGCTTGATAGATTTCCATCTGGAAATTACACGTAAATAGTTGTTGGTTTCGTTTTTTACACGAAATAATGGACAGAATTAAATTTCCATCACTGAAACGAAGTTGTGGAAAACACACAGAAGCTTGAAATATTATTTTTATGTTTAACAAAAGTCCATCCTAAACAAAGCAAACAACGCTAGAAGTCTTATAAACTTACTGACTGTGAGGTGAGTTATAACATTGCAGCAATGTGGTACAAACAGCTTCAAGGATTCCTCAGGACGGCACTGGAAACAGCATCATAAATAGCCCATTTAAAAAAAAAGATGCCTTATGGAACTCAGTGCACACATTGATAAAAATCTCTAACAACATTATTGAAAAAGAGAAGACTAGACGGTATCTGAACTCCCAACTCAATCTAGAGCCAGCCTGACTTCACCATTTTTAAACACTCAATAAAACCTAAATTTAACATAAATGCAAGAAAAAATTTGTGAATTAACCTCTTGACATATTGCTATATGCAATCATCCAATTTTAGAAGACATAATATTAAGAATCATCTGTATTTACATGAAAAATTAAAGATTTTACGTAAGAAAAAGTAGTAGTATTGGCTTTTTTCTTTTTTAAACTAAAAAGCAAAAGAAGTCAGAGCATTTTCTCTCACTTTTACTGCAGCGCGGCACATATCGGCAACCATTCGACCAGCAACTCTTGTCTCAAATATATTTGAAACAGCAAAGTTGAAAACTTTCTCCAAGGCAACCTAAAAATTAGTACAAAAAGATGGAGGTTACTTGTTTAAAAAAAGAAAATTAGGTATCACAAAATGTTTGATGTCACACAGAAGGCAGCACCTGCACATAATATTGTATTATTTTAAAACATAAGACTGCAACCATGATCACACTAAAAAAAAAAATCAGAATAGAGAGACAGAGAAACAGTTCTGTAGAATGCCTAAAGCTGAGTAAAGTGTAACTACCACCGCAATTAAAGCTGATAATACTATAGAATAGAAAGATTAAAAACTTATGCCAATAGTAACTGCTCAGGAAAAAAATCCTAAATGTTATCAGTAGACATCACTTGCACTCTATGCAACAGCTATGTCTAATTGTACAACTACAGCCTTGAACAGAAGAATAAAGGCTGCTACAGGAGCAGAAACAACAAAAGGCTTGTCAACATAGTTTCAGTTTGCAGGTTTTCACTTTTTTTTCTTATTTATTGCAACATTCAGTTACAGTAACACACTGTAACTGGAAAACACACAAGAGCAAGCACTATCATTAGAATAATTCAATTACAGGAAGGTCTGTATTTCCTCACCCCCAAGAGTTTATAAACAAAACACATTGAGTGCTTTAACTGGTGACATAATGGGACACTGCCTTCAGCTGGAAATTGGAGACACATGTAGAATATTTGCTTGGAGGAGAAAATATGTCAGATACATCTTGTTGACTAATGTAAGCTTGGAGTGCTTCTGAGAAACTACACAGAAAAAAGTTTTCCTTGAGTTAGTTGCAGTCCTCAAAGAAAAACTACGCTTTTTCACATGTGAAGTTGATGTAAAGTCAGAACATCCCTTAAATAACAAATAAATATGGAATTAACTATCAACTACGCAAGTGGACAGCATATTTTAAAGAAGCTTATTACCATCCAATACCTTCCAAGGCAAGCTGAACAATATATAGTGTAGATTGCATGTGATTAATAGTGAACAACCGGGCAAAATACAAATTAAATACTTACTGACAACCGAGAATGAATTTAGGACTCAAATTAACCAAAATCATACCCAAGTGCCGAGTGCAATGGTTCAAAATGTACAAAACCTAGCATCTCCAAATATACGTATAACATAATATAAACAGATTAAAATGTGTCAACCCAACCTGCAAGGAAAGAATCTGACTGTGTAACAACCTGGACTCTCCACCCCCCCTCCCTCGGGAGTTATTTTAACCCAGATAATTTTTCTGATCCCATTAGCCACATGGCTCCTTGAACAGCTTCTTTTGTCCAGCTGAGGAAGTGGTAGGGAGAGAAAAAAAAAACACAGAGGATTGGGTAGGTTAGCATTACCATCAAGAGACAAAAATCACAGCCTAAAATGATAAAGTGATAAAATAAGCTGTTAGAATGATTGCTCCTAATGTTTATCATCAATGGGGAAGGGAGTATCAAGAGCTCTGTACTGATGTATATAAAATCATAAAACAAATGAAGTGCTAAACTTCCTCCTCCCCGTACCCCCAGCCCTTTCTTTGGTTAAACATGGGAGTTCACAATGGGACAATGAAGGAGCGAAGAATCTGAATGCACCAGTCATTCACAACAGAAAATTAAGCCTCTTAAAATTAGATGGAAAGCCCATGTTCTACGTACCTTAAAGATCTCCTTTGAACACTGGGTAAGGATTGTGCTGAAAGTAGAAGAGAGACCTAATTCCACTAGACTCTCTAGATGAGTCATTTTCTCAGTTTCGGTCTCCTCTCTAGTTTGTTCTAGTGTGCTGCTTTCTATAAGTCCAAAACATCTACACAAATACAGTAAGTACAATGTTAGTAAGCGGAACTTGAAAGTTTTATTAAGTTCTCCACGCCAAGCTTCCACCTACCCCTTAGCTTACTTACCTGTCCATAAACTGCAGTACAAAATCCTCAAATTCAGCACTTGCAGAGCACAATTCTCTTTCCACCTACAGTTTTCCAATGCAAAAGAAGCACAATAGGTTGGCTTTTCTTAAGGAAACATAATATCAAGTTTATTTCCTGTATTTACTCCTTCAAAAACACTTCCAATTCTTAAGTTATATATACTACAGTGCATTTCTCAAAGTTTGTATAGTCTCAAGTACACTACATGAAACAATTATTACATTTCCTTTACACTGTCCTATCAAGTTTCCTGGCCTCGCTGTTTAGCCAAGTAACCTCTCAGGGTTGAAATCGGGTTTGCCTCCATGGATACAACCTTTGGCCTTACTAGTGATCCTCCTTTCCAGCAAGAGGTCAGCAAGTGCCAGCTATGGTAGCAGACTTGGCTCTGCTGACATATTGATATTAAATATTCAGCATACAAACTCCTCTGTTAGTTGTCGAGTGCTGCAGCTCTGGGGCAATGAAGTTAACCTTCTTCCAGCAGCTGAGCATTCAGAGTCTGTGCAATCTGTAGCTACTAGCTGTTCTCAGAGCTATAGGAAGAGATTTCTAGCACCAGATGAGACATTTTACACGTCAGTTGCAACTAACACAGCAGACACTGCTGCCTCATCTGTAATACACCAGATAGAGCTTCACTAGCTGTGCTTAAACTGCTGTATCAAACGCAGGAATCAAAAGTCTAGTGATAAGCAGAGAAATTTACTTCCCATTCTCTCCTGTATTTTTTGCTATGTGGAAAAGGACAAGGTATTAGAACAACGCTGGCAAAATGGAGTGCAAGGAGCTCTAAAACTAGAGATGAATGCGAACAGCACTCCAAAGCAGCAAATAGGTGGGGTGACCATGTCTAGTAAGAACGGGGCAGCAGAAGATAAGACACCGAAGAGGGAGATGAAGCACACTGTCTGATGATGTTACTGTCTCTTGATTGGAACAGATTAACAAGCATCTGAAGAGAAAGCAATAGAGTCTTAATCAGAAAAGAAAAGCATGACTGCAGGAAAACTTTTAAGAGGTGCAAGTGTTTTGAAGCTTTTTCCCATAGGAGGAAAACAGCCCTGAAAAGTTAAAAAGTGTGCTAGATTTTTGAAAAATAACTGCTAACAGTTGAAGGCTTTTTGGGTTTGTTTTTTTTTTAAACACATATGAAGTTTTCAACAGGAGACTAAATTCCTTCCAGAGTCTCCCAGACAATCAATTAGTTATTTTACCTCATTCTAAGCTAGACTAGTTTTGCACTAAAAACAATGTGTATATATCTTGCAGCAACACTGTAGTCATCCACTTTTTTGTTGTTTTCCTTTATTGTTACCTTAGATGTTTTATGGTGACAGGAAATTTTAAAATTCTAATGGTAACAATGCTGCCATTTTATTAGACTCAGAAAAATTTAGATGGCAAAGGACCTCTGAAGAGCATGTAGTCCAACCTCCTATTCAAAGCAGGGCAAGCTCAGAAGCAAATTACACTACATAGGGCCTTGTGCAGCTCAGTTTTGACATAAAAATATTAAAGTGTGTGAATTTAACATTATCTCTACAACAACCTATCACTAAGCAGCAATACAAAGAATATATGGCCAATTTACATGTTGGTGTCAGCTCCACCACACTGACCAGAAGCAAACCTGATCCACATCTTTGTTTTACTGTTGCATTTTTGCTTAACACAGTTTTATGTATACAAAGAGAGTAGCAAGCCTGTTATAGTTCTGAAGAGATTACTGCATTGCTAGAAATTAAATTGAAAACTAGGTTATAGCTTTGTTTTTATAACTGCACAGCACTCTTACCTCTGAAAGATCATCTCTTTCTTGCAATACAGATGAACAATCTACTAAAGGCACCAAAGTAGAAAATGTTGCAATGAACTGGAATGTAATCTGTTGAGAGTTGCAAACAGCTCTTTAATAAGTGTTACTGTATTCTACACATTAAAAAGCTTTTGCAATTAAGGTATGGAAGGTAAAGCAAATTATACAAAAAATAAAATTCCAGACCCTAACTCTTCCACCCCTAAACTTCAACAGTTATTTCTGATTTCATATATAAAACTTACCAGTCAGCACTGTGCAAACCCCCCTCAAATTTCTGAGTAAAGTAACACTTGTTTTGTGCTGAACTTTAAAGTTACAAAAAACCTATAATGTTTACATTATTTGAATAGTCAATTAATAAGAATTCATGAAGATGCTGGCCTTTAGGACCTAATTTAATGAAAACATTGTGATAAAGGTCTTCCTATTGATCTTGAAAGACTAGCAGTATTTGCTAGTGGCTTTACATCTATTTTATCTTGTTTTTCAGAGCTGCCCAAAAAATCAGTACAATGTTTATCACAATCTGCTGTTAAAGATTCACTTGGCATTGTCCAACAAGCCAAAAGCATTAAAAGTTGAAAGGCTTTGTTGAAAAGTTGAAGGCTTGTAATATTAACTTTTTACTGTACAGGGACAAAATCAGATTAAGAATTTCTGGAAACATGAGTTACTTGCTTTCATAGGAATAATAATAAAAAGCTTCAGAGTGAACTAGCTGGCCAGTTATCTTCTAAAAAAGGGTAAGCTTTATACACTCACCATACATTTGCTGAAGTCATTTGGATCCACGCCAGGCAGCGCTCTCATCAGTAGGGGTAGCATGTGTGTTGGACCTTCAGGAAACCACTTCCCTCCAGACACCAGACTACGAGCTACTCCAATTACACAGCTTAAAGTAGCTGTGAGCTGATGAGGTTCTGTCAATGTCTCAAGTGCAGGATATGTTCTATGAAGTTTAAGAGCAGTCATATTAGGAACAATAATGTTACTAAAGTCTTCAAAGAAAATAAAAGTGGATTGCACATATTATGTTCTACAGAAAAGGTACAAAATTTCTGCAAGAAAAATTCAAGCTAATGCATGGTTCCAAATTTTTTTTCTAATCTTTTTCCAATGGACTTGACATTGCTCTGTTAGAGAACTTTCCTTTCATTTGATCAGTCCTATTCACAACAAATTCAGGATTAAATCATTTGTTTGCAGTTGCAGCACAGGAATTAATAACTGCATTGGCTCCTAGATTCAAAGCTATGATGATTTTTGTGTTTGAACTTTAAGCTAACGCAAGCTGTGTACTTTAAAGTGTAAGATTCTTATGGCAAGCATGAAAACGTGCCTTGACTACCTCTAAATAGATAAGGGATATATTACTTAATGTTACATTAAAGTCCATATCTTTCACAAAAACCTATTAAGTTACTGTGATTTTTAAACCTTCTTTTACACTGAGTACCTTCTAGCAAACTGCAAAACACTTCCCACTGTCACCAACAACCTACAGTTCAAACAGGAGTCACAGTGCTACCCCTGCCCTACGGCATCCAGAGCACAAAGGACCTACATCTATTCAACAAAATGAATTCAGAACTGCAGTCAAGGCAAACATACCAGTGATAGTTTGAACTAGTGAGCAGACATTCAGTCTGCTCTCAAAACAGAAAAAGTCTTCATAGCCAATATGGGTATCCATTGCTGTCCTCCTTAGAACTGTTAGGCTTGAAATGTTTTCATATAAGATCAGATTTATCAAGTTTTTATGAACATTTGAGTCAGTGTGGTATGGAACTCGGAAAGTGCTCTTCAAGACAAACTCATTTCTCCACAGTTTTTACAACACAAGTTGTTGAAGCACAGAAGACTGCATAGGCAGGGGAACATGGATAGGAACTAGGAAGAATGCTTTTCATTGGGGCAGGAGGGAGTTCCATTTTTCTTCTGGAATTTCAGGCACCAAGGCATTAGTAATAGTACAAACCATGTATTTTACATGGGCAAGTGCTTTAGTGATTTGCTTATGAAGTCAGAAGCAATCACAGTAATTTTAAACAATCTGTAACTAACATACTCTGACACAAAACAGAAATATAAAACTTATGCTCATTACTATACACACAATATCATTTATATTTCGCCCAACTGAAAGCTAGTGAGTACAAGGTGGCTCATGAATAAAGGGTACAAAGTTGCTTTTTCAACTGATCCACCACTACCTGACACAAAAGGCTAACAGAAATGCAAACCACTTGAAGACTACCTTCTATTGCACAAGCTATGAACAGCTCCCAGAACTATTCATTTTGCCAAGTGTTTAAAAACAAAAAAAAAACAAAAAAACAAAAAACAAAAAACAAAAAAACCCAAACAAACAAACAAAAAAACCCAAACAAACAAAAAAACCCAAAAAAACCCCAAAAACCCAAAGTCCTCCTTCACTCCCTGTCCTGACTCCGGTGATTGCTCAGGGGCATGTATTAGCAGCTCCTCACACTGCAAGCATTCATTCGCAGCAAGGAAACTGCTTATCATTTAATATGACTGCTTTGCATATTTATTTGTTGGGAAGGGAACAGGGAAGTTGTAATGTTTCTGCAGAACTTACTTCTCAAGTACAGGTGGAATTACTAATTCAGGACGCATCAGTGCAAGGTTCTGCAGGGCTTGGGCAGCCTCCAGGCTTCCAGTTTTACTAAACATAGCCAGAAGAACAGGTTGAATAATGCATTCTACAAAGTCTGTAACATCCTGATCAGTAAGTTTATGACTATCAGGCACAGGAGTTAACCAAGTCATTTTCTTGTAGCGCTCACGATGCAGCCTTCTGACAACACCACTGGGTAACCTTTGAAGTAGTTTCATCAATTTGTTCTGTTAAATAAACAAGAAATGCTATTCAGTTACTTGGCAGAAGCAGAATCTGAGCTGCTAAGAGTACAACAGACAATTAAGTCAATATCTTGAAACTACACAACTGCAATAAAACTCAGAAGAGCTCTAAAACACAATGTTCACAACTTGTCATTAAACTTCAGTTCCCAAAAATACCAGTAATTATGCTGCCAGCACTATGCCTTATGATTTAAAAAACCATGAAAAACACATACAAGGGATACAGTCAACAATCAATTACTTACTAGTAATCTGGACATATTCAAGAGCATTCTGTGAACATTCACGTGTAAGCAAATATCCTATTATAGAACAAGTCAGCTCTTCTGGCACTGCTTTGACCAGCCTTGCTATTTCAATCTGTACTTTCTACCAGCCATCACATTCTCCAGAAGACGACTTCACTAGCTACACCATCAAAAAGTTATGCTTCATCAAACTAGATATGCATTAAAAATCTTTTTTTGCTTTGGTTAACCAAAGCTAGATTTTGCTACATTAGAGACAGTAAGTCAGTAATACAAAAGCTGTCACATAAATAATACTGATGCTGTAGATCACTCTCCTTTAAAGCGCTGACTTCCTTTTCCTAGCTATATATGAATTAGATGTTTAGTTTTGAACTTCTAAACTGCACTTGGGCTAGATGTTTGAAGAATACTCCTATTAGCTATGCTCCTGACATCAGAATAAAAGTATGCTTTGAATGACAGTACAATCACGTATCTTGAAAATTAAAGCCTCAAAATATTATACAACCATCAGACAATCTGGCTGCTGGAACACAGAGTACATCTATCAACACGTTTGATTTGACAGGTTTGACTGCCAAAATTACAGCCAAAGTTATTGTCTTGACATGCAAAAAACTCACCAGCCAGCGCCCATTATTAGAAGGATGGTAAAAAGAGGCAATGCTATTGAACAATCCAGACAAATGCTTCTGCACTAGTTTACTTGGTCCACCCTGTAAAAAAATAAAACACAGAATTCTATTACATGGAGTAAGTTAAAATGAACAGGTAGCACACTAGTACGAGGTACAAGTGAGCAGTCTCACCACAGCAACACCTCAAACCATCAAATCACATCTGCACATTCCCTCCCATCCCCACTCTCAGCACCAAATTGCAAGTTCTGTCCATCTGATGATGTTCACCCTAAAAGAGTGATTCCATTGTTTAGTAGGTCCCAAGTGTGTATCAACAGTGGCAGCTGTAGCTGGGTGTTCATTCCAGAGTGCCACAGACAGTGGCTGTGAAATAAACCTTTCCATCCACACTCCAAATTGGCAGTGAAACAATGCACTTTAAAACAAACCTTGGGCAAAAGATAACTTGAAAACACGCTTCTGCAGTGAGCCAAACAGAACAAACGTTAATTTAAAATATATACCTGCTTAAAGCTTTGCATTAGTTTTTGTCTCACTTTATGAAAAAGTTACTAACCATCATGGCTGTGATCCACATTACCGCATGTCCTACATCATAAGCATTTGTTAAGAATCTTGGAACAACAACTTGATTGCTTCCCACAGGAAGATTTAAACTCCTCAAAATTCTGGTAAAAATCTGAAAAAAAAAAAATATTAAAAAATAATTGGGATAAATTAATAAATTACTAAAACTGGCACAAATTAATTTTCTAATCAAAAGGTGTTTTGGGTTTTCAGTCTTTTTAAACAACATAACTGCTATTAACATCTTTTAAAAAAATCAAGATCCAAGTTCATACTATTTATCAAAAGAATATCATTCAAGGGCATTTCCACAAGAACATGGGATTAGTTATACAATCAGACAGCACTTCTATAGTAATGTACATTGTTGCTTTGGTTTGGTTTTTAGTCAGGTGATAGCAGTAACAACTTCCAATGCTATCTGTTACAAAATGATGGCTCAAATTTTTACAGTTAAGCTTAGGTCTTCAAATGAATGCACCTGATTTGAAAAACTGGGCCACTGCAGTATAAGACCCATAAAGGGAACATGAATTATTCTTACCATAGTAATACTGAAGACTTCTCTCAAAGTTAAAAAAAAAAAAAAAAAAAAAAATTATAAAATGAGAAATATTACCTTCGGTACATAGGGATCCCAGTCTATATACCCAATGTTGTCAGTAGCCAAGCGAGCAAAAAGATTTACTAGATGCTAAAAACAACCATAAAAGAAGGAAATACTCATCAGAATACACTTACAATAAAAAATGCACAAACCCCTCAATCTACCTTACAGATGCAAGATAAGAGCTACCCATGGCACCAAAGCACTTGTAAAGGGAGATTTCACTCTCTCAGAAGCCATCAATACCATATTTCATAATGCATCTGAATACCTACCTTCAGGAGTCCAACTCATTACTCATCTGAACATTTACAAAGCAGGTAATTGTGATTTAAGTTCTGGGAGAGGCAGCCTGTCAGAATACACCCCCCTATTTCTTCCTTTAATAAAAAATATATATATAAAGATGTACTAATAGTACTTTCAGAAGGTCTAGTCATACTCTTCCTTTCGCCATGCTCTGTGAATTAACATGGTAGTGAATGCATTCTGCTTTTCATTTCAATTCTCAACCATTTATTGTCTGAACAAGTCTGAAGCACAGTAGATGAATAACAGACAAACTTGAGCTATATGTTGTCAAAGACTTTAGCTTTTGCTAAGATATATCTTTTCCCCTTTTGTGCAGCCTTGAGCTTTTCCCCTTTTGAACAGCTTCCAGAGACCAGAAAACACCTGTACTAAGCTTCAGACTCCTTCAAACACTACCACCATTTTATCAACTGAGTGTAGCAGACTGTTCATCTCTGCAGCAAAGGTTTGGAACAAACTCTAGGTGACAGTTAGAAGCAAGATTTCCCAGCAAACCCACAACACAGCTTAAGCAAAGCAAAAAACTCATAACAGGCTCTAGGCTGGCAATTTCATTGACTTCTCTAGCAGAAACCTGCTACCTACTTTCACAGCCTTTGCACAAAGGACTATTTGGATTGGTTACTGGAAAATGTCCTAAGGAACATTCTGAAGAATGAGGTCCTACCAACAAACACATCAGGAATCCTCTTACACGCAAGAATGAGAGAGACAGGCTCTGTAGAAGATAGGAGGTTTGGGAAGAGAATGAACATGTATCCAAAATCAAACCACCTTCTGGCAAGGGAAAGGGCCCTGAGCTATCCACTTTGGCTGCCAATACATCATCCTGTTCTTGATAACTTTGATCAGAAGTGATACGCCATGCACACATTCCACAGTAAGTCTGAGCTGGAGCAGCTTAACAAGTGCTTACGATTGTCAATTCATCTTACAGTGCTTCCTCACCAGTACAGCACTCTCATTCAGCTGAATGTGGATACTGGACTAAACCAGCATCTATATATAGACATGGAAGCAAATTCAACCAACACACCTTGAAGGACTATTTAGCTTTTGCAGGATCCATCCTACTTAAAGTGCACTTCCCTGTGCTGATGGCTGTCACATTTGTAAGCTTTGGTTTATACACATCTGTGGCTTGTAAAGGTCACAGGCATTAGCCGTCAGATGGGATGGCAGTATGTGACTAGGAAGAATTACGTATTCCATTGCCAAAAGACAGTCTCATGAATCCGGAAGGGAACCTAAAGACGTCCTCAGGAAAGAGAGTATCAGGACTAAACAAAAAAGGAGATGAAGTCTTACTCTCATACCCTGATCGTTAGAAAGCACATAATCCACCAACACTCCTTTTATGAGCTTGCCCAAATAGGAAAATGCCCATCAGGTCTCCAAGAGCCTTAATGCTTTTATCAGTATCTTGAAGCTATAGCGAAGCCAAAAGGAAACACCTTATATAATCTTGCCTAATTCAGAGACAGATATTCAAGAAAGTACAGTTCACCTCCCTGTCTGAAGGACATGATAGCTTTGGAAAACTCAAAAATTCAATTCAGGACAGTCACATCTGACACAGCCTGAAGACAAGTGTTACATTTTCTTAAATTATTTACTTTTTTTGTTTGCTACTAGGAAATGCCCATTGAAAAAAACCCTTCCCACGCACAAAGCCAATTGATTCTATAGCTCACCTTCAAACAGCAAGTCTGAATCCTGACAAAGCAAGCTGAGGAAAAGCTTGAAGTGTACAGAGGCTTAAATTGGACTGCATAGTCAGAACCCATATGTCTAATTATCTGCATCCAAGCTTGATGACATGAATATGACTGCCCTTATGAAGAGGACAAAACAGCAAAGGAAACAAGAAGAGAAAGCTTTGGGGGGAAAAAAAAATGTTCGTGCCTTCCAAGCAAACTGTCATAATATAGTGGAAGAGGGCAAAAAATATCATAGATAACTTATGAGTGTTAATGATTTTTTGTTAGACCATTTGACAGAAACAAACCAAATCATGATAATAAAGTGCAAGCTGTCATCTTTCTGTCAGAAAGTAGACAGAATCATGATTTTTTGGATAGCCATCAGAAAGATGTGGAAGTGTCTACAGACAATCTCAAATAAAGCTTTGGCAATCACCTCTGTTCAAATCTGGACAATTGCCAACTGCTGGAACAAAGACTGTCTTCCTTTATTTCTGATGAAACGTAACTCAAACCAGAAAGAAGCACACACAAGCCTTTTCACAAACAAAGTGCCAGAAATGGCATCTGCTACAAAGGTAGCATTCAACAGTGTTCTGAAAATCACCTTTCTCCAAAGACACTGAGAAGTCCTCCTTGTGTATATAGGCAGGAGATTAGTAAAAGAAGCCAGATGGTCAATGAGCTTATGTTCATACCGAGTATGGAAAAAATCTGGTAATACGCCAAGTTTCACTGCAGTAAAGTTAAGGCACAGGTCAGCTGACAACAATAGCACCTAAGCTGCTGATGGTGTTGTCGCAAGAATAAGATTTTATTTCCCAAGTTTGTATCTAGTCATATGAGACACACAAAAAAGGCACGCAGGTACATGGTAGACTATTTCCCTTGAAAGATATAGCCCAATGGTATTCTTGGCCAAGGGGAGTACAGGTTCTTTACTGTACCTAAAATAAAGATGACAACAACTCATTGCATTTAAGGCAAAGCATTACTACTCAGAATTGGGGATCATGAAAGATGTATTAAGATATAAAAGATGGGACTTTATGGAAATATAGTTTATAGAAATCACAATAGCTCTTTGCATCACTGTAAGCATTGTAAGCAGTCTGGAAAATGCCAGCATGCCCAAGGCTAGAAAGAAAAGCGGCCTGAGCTAGCCATTAAACAATGTTCATCAAGCATAAGTGCAGTCTCAGTTATTCAGCCAGTAATTGCCTGCTAACAATCATGAAATTACAGTCTCTGCTTTCTCATACCAGTTAAAGCAGAAGGAAGAAAAAAAAAATTCCATTATTTCACTGTTTGACTTCAATGCCTTGCAAGCATGTTGTAGGAATATTTAAATGGATTTCTTCTAGTGTAGGTGAAAAGTAAATACTTACCCCTTCCCATTGGGGAAGATTTTGAACTGACACCCAAAGGCCTATAAATTCATCAAACCAAAGCCTGCAAGAGTAGAGAATGAAAATAATTTTAATGTTGTGAAAGCAGCTCCCTGACTGGATATTTATCCCCCACTTTGCCAGGTGGTCACAGGAACTCACCCGCCCCTCAACTCATCAACAAGAACAGGGACCAACATGGACATGCTTGTATCATTTTGCTTCCCACAGCCTCCCCCTTATCCCTAAATCTGATACTCAGCTTCGGTCCTTGCTTCTTTTTACATCTCCTCCTCTTATTGTTTTCTGATCACCCCCTTTCACACAAGCGTTTCACCAGGAGTTTCCTTACCTGCTTCAGCTTCGCCATTTTATTACATATTGCCACCCCAACACATGTAAACCAGATGAAAATAAATCACACTTCATTTCCCTCTACCTTAAAATCTAAAATTTGTTCCTACTGACCAATGGTTACAAATGTCATTAGCACTTATTTTGAATTCACCTGAAGCCAAGGATGCAAATCCTCCACACCAGTCCCTTACCTTAAATTCACCGTTATAAACTATACCCACTCCCTTCCTTGAAGTTTTCACTAACCCTATAGCACAAATATACTTTTAATCTAACCAGCCTAAGTAATCTCTACATGCACTAAACACTGCTGGCTTATATTTTGAAGTTAATAGCTAGTTAATAGAAGTCAAAGATGATTCAAATACTGTCCTGTCCTACAAATGTTTCTCCTTTAATATTCAAACTCATTTCCTACAGCAGTCTTCCAACAATCTCACATTTATGCATCTTGACAGTGAAGACCTCTGTCTCACAATCCGACACCTGTAGTAACAGCTGTACTTTAACCTACCTGAAGGACTCATCAGAAGCTACATCAAATTAAAGAGAAGGCAGGACTAGAACACTATTCTATGGTTAATGATTTTTACCTGTGAGACTACTCCTTCAGAAGTGCATTTAATTCAATTTAGTTTGCTTTGTTCTATACCGCATGCTTTACTCCAGAGAAGGCAGAACTCACTAGGGAATAGGTACTAAGATTCCCCCAAGGTTACTTTTACAAAAGAAGAATGCTGACAGAATATCCGTCTTGAACACCTTCCAACAATGCTGTTAAAAGCCACCATTTGTTTTGCTGGTTGACTTCAAGTCACCCTGTAAAAGATAATCTCCTGCATATGCAACAGAATACTATACCAACAGACATTCAATTATACTTACTTGAAACCTTTCTGGTGAAGTTCCGGAGGCAGGGTAGTAGGTAGAAATAGTTCAAAGTAGGTAATAGCCTTTTGCATAGTAACATCAAAAGGACACATTAAAGGCCTCCATTCATCTAGCATCTCCGCAGTGGCATCTTCTGGAAAATATCTGAAAACAAGGAAACCGTCAAACATATACAAGCTTGGCTTCAAAGTTTGGGTCTTTTTTTTAAACATATTTAAATCTATCTGTTAATTTGTCATAAAATCTTAGTTTTACAGTAAGACCATGTACCCAGGGGCGATAGACAGGCAGTCCTCAACTCCACTTAACCTTCACAAAAGACAAAGAACATTACAGGAATTTCTTTTAAAAGAAACTAAATGTCCACGCAACGCAGTATTTCAAATACATACCAGATACAACTGTTTATACAACACAATCTTTGGAGTTGATAAGGTGCCAACTGGAAATAGCGTTACCAGCACCCCAACCTTAAGTCAGAATTTTCAAGAGACAAACATTGTATTTCGATTTTAAAATGCTCTGCTTCAGTGACTTTTATATTCATAATGTAACCAGAGTGATAGAGTCTGCTAACCATAGCATAACCAGAGTGATAGAGTCTGCTAACCATAGCAATGAACAACAACAAAAAAAAAAAGGGGAGGGGGGGAAGGGATGGGACTGATGCCAATTAGTGTATTTTTTAATCTGTATTCTAGTCTCTAGGTAACCATTAACAGTAACAAAATAGTAGACAATGTGATTCTGTCAAAAGAAAATGATGAAACGTGTTTTCGTGTAGCAAACTGAGAAAACTAGCTAAGACTGCCAAGATTGCAAGCCGAAATAGGTAAAAGGTAATTCTGACAGGGGGAGATCGCGACCACCAACCCATTGACCACCTACCCAAGTAATACCACCTACTCAGAAGAGAACAATGGAAGAGGATGACAGAGTCTGCGCAATAACTGACATGTGAAGTGAGCACATATGTACCAATCACCAAAGAGAATAATAATGAATATATATGGATAAAATAAATATGTATATTTTTGATCTATATAACCACATGGGAAAAGTATGAAGTATGCATGTTTGGTGGAATTATCCCCCGTGCATCCAGCGCTGCAATAAAGAATGCCTGCCTTTTAACACTACATTGGTGTTACAAGGTTTTATTCCTGTCTTTTCAGTGACAGTAAGAGACCAGAAAAATCAACACCGAAAACTGAGGGTTTTTATTTAGCTACAAAACCACATATATGTGGGAAAAGTGTAAGGTTGCTTACTTATGCTCATAAGTATGCTTATGCTAACATTACATGTTTAGAACAGAATCTCCTATATGAACAAACGCTCAATGCAGTAACATCAGTACATGAAACAACTGCTCCCAAGAAAGCAGATGCTAACTACAAATAGCCATATGAATGGTAAATCAAAGAGAACGAGTCTCTTCTCTGCATCTTTACAGTATCTTAAGCTGCTAACAAAGTCAGTCAGTGCAGACAGCAAGACTGGTTCAGGCACACACATGCCCAGTGAACATAACAGCACAAAAGATCAAAAGCAAATGGTGGCCTCAGCCAGTGATATCCTAGTTTAACTAACTACAAATAGATATTCAAACAAGGCTGTTAAAAAGGAAAAAAAAACAAACCTACAACTTACACTTCGTTTAAATACTGTACCATGGAACACACCTGTCATTTTGTTTTCATTTTAAGCAATGTATGAGCCTGACGTCTTGATCATTCATAACACAGTAAAACAGAAAAGTCTCTACCCTCCACCCCAAGCTGCTTAGACAAGTTGGGACAACATCAGCCAAGAATGACTAGTAGGGTGGGTTTGGGGTTTTGTGGGTTATTTTTGTTTGGTTGGTTGGTTAGCTTGGTTTTTTTAAACACTTTTCTACCCCCTCTTAAAGTAATATTAAAGATACAGGCTTAAAAAAAACAAAACACAAAACAAAGACTTACGGTCTGCAGCTCTTCACAAGTGTTTTCAGAACACTCTCTACAGAACTGAAACAAGAAAGGAAACATTAGGGGGATAGTGCATTACCAAATTTCAATGACAGCACAAAATAAACAACCATTTGCTGATTTTTCCCTCAAGAGCTTAAGACAATGTTGATGCAATTAGACGTCTTCTGTGAACATGCAGTAGCTAATCCCTTCTACACTGACCTAATAACTAAAATTGCTCTACCAGACTCCTGGTTCTACTGTTCATATACCACTCTAGTGTTTACTGCATTTAAGTGAAGAAGTATTATCATTTCTTATAAGTAATATCCTGCATTTTATCCATGAATAACCAGCAGAACAAGGTAACTTCTCAGGGGAATTTGAAAACACCAACATAAAAAAAATTTATTTATGGACTTCACAAATACTCGTAAGATAAATAAAGGCAATAGACTTCAGAAAGTTGTTATTATTGGACTCCCAATACCATATCTGTCCTTTTCAGTCTGGTTTTGATTTTTGACCAGTGGTTCTAAGAAAAAGAAGTGAACTATTTGCAAATCTATGGTTATTTCACTAGCTTCCCTCATAATTCACCGCTGATTTAAAAAGCGCTTTCATCCACAGCAAGAAAATTTACTTGAGAAATCATTTTAAAATGAATTGTCACAAGATGCCATCACACCACTTAAAAAAGACCAAACCTCAGAATGAACTCAGAGAACAAAAGGGAGGGTGAGGGAGAGAGAGATGGATCAATGGAACCATAAAGGTAGTAAACTCATGTTCCTCAAAGCTTCTCTTTATTAGAGGATGAGCTCAAAATAAATCGCACTTTTACCAAAAAACATTCCCCGAATGAGAAAAAAAGTTCTGGTGGGAGAACTTCCTACATCTTTTAGAGGTACTTTCTGCACTCAATAGAAAAATTGCATCCTTCAGTTCATCATCAAAAACTAACATACAGAAATGCTATTTTGATCAGAAAAAGATGATGCAAATGTATCATCTTTAGAGTTATACCAAAGATCAGTTTAGGTCAACTAATTTTGAGACACACAAATACTCAGCATGCACACACTCTCTCTCTAGTCCTACACAAAAATACCTGATCCCATACAAGCCAGGAGGAATGTAAAATGGATAAACCACTATTTCACTTCAACAACTCAACATTCAATGCAAGCCAGCAAAAGCCCACCCAGCCCTCACATCACAACATCAGTTCAAGCAGCACTCTGGAAGATGTAAAATTCTGTACATTTTATGCAACAATGAAAAAGTAAACCCATGACCTCTCCCAGAATGAAAATTTTGAGCTGAGTGACAGCTTCCAAAATTTGAAGAGGAATGGCCAACCATTCATTAAACAAAAATAAGATCCAACTCTGCAAGAAGCTCATAAAGATTCTGGGTTAAAGTGAATACTGCTCTTTGAAGAGTTCAGAAATAGGTAACAGTTGTTCCAAGAATAGATAAATACAGCACAAACCAGCAACATTACTTAAGAGCATTAAAGATTAACATGAAAAATATTTGTGTGAAGTAAACTATTACTAAGGAGAACCTGAAGGACAGAGGAATTTTAAGAAACACTAATGCCAGACATCAAGAACTCTTTCGAATTCGCGACTCTTCAGTCAGATCTCAGCATCTGTTAGTGGAAGAGAGCAAAGGAAAAAGATTGGAAGGGATGTCCCCTCCTGTCTTCTGATCACAAATTTAGAATGGAAGCTAGAAAGAAATAAACACCAGCAGACAATTTTGTACACAGGGAAACTTCCATCTAAGACACGGAAGACGACATCTTGTAAGATTCCCGGTTGATAAGTACTAGTTAGAAAAAAGACAGGACAACACACCTGGGGAGAACAAGAAACTGCTGGTTACCGTTTTCATTATCACTTTGAACAAACTCTCCCCAACTTTTTACCAGTGCCTTCTGTTCCACTTTTGGTTAGACTTTCTGCACACCTACTACTGCCAAATTGCTCAGAAATATCTACAGTTACTGCACTCGCAAATTTCTGTATGCTACTCTACCACTAAACCTAGCCATGGATTAACAGAGCACAACAGTAAACAACTATACACATAAATCACACTGGATTGGATCAGCCGACTATACTTTGTACTCTTATCCTTGCTCGGGTATTTAATGCTGACCATTTGAGTAAGGTATTAAAACCTTTGCAACTGAGAGACAATGAAGCTTACCCTTCTTACACTGGAAGGTATCTCCTATCAATTACTGAAACAACAGCTTATTTAATGATATAAAGGACAATTTATCATTCCATTCAGTTTTCTTTGCTTTTAGTTCCTCCTTATTACTTGAAGTACTATTAGCTTGTTATTATCATGTCTTGCCACATGGATATATTAAAAAACATCCAACAATACTATTAACCCCTACCACGAGTCATCATTTTGGCACTACACGATTGTTTTCTTCCTTTAGGAAGGACTTGACCATATCAATTTGAAAACCTGTTTTTTTTTTTACCCTGCACTTTCAGAGAGAAACACATTTCTGTTGAAACAATTAATATATAAACTGACACTGCTGATTCTTAGACTATTAAAAAGCAGTAAAAGCACAATTTTCAGTTTTTCAGGACAGATTCAGACTTTTAAGTGAAATTCTAGTGCTGCAATGGACAATCCATTAGAAGACGTTAAATTAAGAGAATGAAAAGAGCAACCAGCTATAGTTTCACAAATTTAGTGAACTTCTAACTGGAGAGTCAAAGATCAATCTCTCATTAGATTAGTACAACTAAAAATTTCTTCCTAAAAAACCCCAAACAAAGCAAAGAACACTGCGATTCCACCTCCACTTATACCAGTTTTTTGAATTTATATATACACCAAAACTCCTGATACAGTTTTCACTACAAAATTTCATAGTAAACTCTTCCAGTACAGAAACTTTGTTTCACACTTCACAGCTACAAGGTTGTTGCTGGGTGTATTTTCCAGAACCTATTACCTCACTGCTAAAGCACTTTCCATGATTTCATCGTTTTTAATAGTAAGGTACACTTAGTAACATGCACTCCTACACCAATATCGATTTTGTCCATATTCAGACACAGCAATTATTCAAATGTAAAATTTACCTTGTATTTAGCCCTTAAAACATCTATGCTGGTTAAATTAGTTAGCATATAGCCACTTTATCAGCCACTTCACACACGCTATCTTGTTCCCCAATTAGAAAGGTTTACATACAGTGCGACATTCTCATAAACAGTGGTGTAATGTTAACATTGGTTGTCCAATACAATTATTTACGCAGAAAATTACACCTGTGTGACAAGTGTTACAATCTAACAGGACATGCAGAAGATTACACATCGGCCAGAGCTGAACAAAACAAAAAGTCATTCTTACCACCTATGTAATACATTAAGCACAAATGTTTTAGGTGAAGACAAGCCTGGTCGATATGAACTGAATGTAAAAAAAAAAAAACAATTAAAACAGTAGTTAAATTAACAGCTATAAACTGAATCAACTCAGCTTCTAAAAATATCTCGACTTTCACCAAAAAGATACCCCTCAAAATTGATGTTAGAAGAAAAAACACCGTATGAGAACAAATCGCACTGCATATTAAGATGGAGTGTCTGGTATCTAATACAGTTCATAAAAGCTAAAAGTTTCAGACACACCATCACAACCGATATCCCTCCTCCCACCTTAACCTTCTTTTCCCTCTTGGAAAAGTCCCCTCTCCACTATGCTAGTTTCTCACACAGTAAATGAGAAGTGATTAGTCAACATCCCCACAGAGCAAAGTGTGCAGTTTCCGCAGGTGCTAGCATATGCGTAAAACAAACCAACTAAAAAAGGCCCTGCTCTTTTGGATATGCACTGGCAAGTAACGCCTACAATCAGCAAAATAATGCCATTTAGCAAAATAGTACTATTAGCAAAATTATTTTTCCTGCTATGTAGCCATGAGAGAAATTCAGCACGAAATGCTCCGTAACAAGTTACAAGGCTACCTATACTTTCTGTTCATGTCACTTATCAGCAATACGATCTTCAACTCAGTAGAAGAAAGCAGTGGTAGTACTTCAGCATCCCCAGACAGAAAACTTTTTTAAAGCCGATTAAGAATTATCACCTGCATATCTTTACATGACATTTCAATTTAAAAAAAGACATGAGTTATCTATGCAATATATTTTGTAAGCTGTAATTTATAGAGCAGGACCTTCTCTAACTAGAATTACTAGAAAAACTGTAATTTTGGAAATTTGACAGATGGGAGGGATCGGCAGCGTAAAGAAAGCAAAGAAAAGTTTTCATTTTTAAAATCAGTAGAACCTTTCAGAAATTCTTCACTGGGAAAAAAATTATTTGCCTATGTCATCTCTCTGAAAATATCTATACACACATATATTTATTTCCTACAGAAGGCACATCACTTTTCTTCATACGCACACTGATCTACCCCTAGATTACAAATATTGGGAATGCTTACAGTACATATACTTTTTGAACAGTATCATTTTTATTCTCCCAAACCCTTACTGTGTTATATAACCGAACAGCAGACATTTAACTTGAACATCATTAAAAATTCAACATTAAATCTGTTAAACTGTGGGTTATCATCCTAAAACAAGCCGGTAAGACCCCCATTCCAACACATTTTAGAAATGAACTCAATAACATTCATAAAGACAGGAACATCATAACATAAACACAATTCATTCACAGAAGGATATACCTGATCTTGTACAATCTTGAATGCAATTACCAAAAAATACTTCATGAAAATATAAGCAAAATATTTACTGTGTATCAAACTCCAGACATTAAAAGCAAATCTCAAAGTACTTTCAAGCATTAGAGGTACTTAGAGCCTACCAAATGTTTTAAAACGCAAACCTACTTGGGAAACCAATTTAATCCAAGATGTTCTGTTTTGGAGTATAATATCCTTTCCAACATTTCATAAAGTGGTTTCCATGGTAACTCTAAGTCATCCCTGGAAAGCAGTTCTTTTTTCCTAATAGAAAAAAAAAAACAATGAGCACTTTAGGATTAAACATTTACATTGACACAGTGCACATCGGAATACCCCAGATCACTGCTCTGAATTTTGTTTATCTTCAGCATTTGGCACAAGCTGCAGGAAGGTCAGGCAAGAAAAAAGCTAGCCAGTTGCAGCATTTCTGCACAAACAGTACGAAGTTGTGAGACAGTCTTCATCTTCTCCCTATCTGAGATTGAACCTTAACACTTGGCTCTCTGAGATGTTTTCCTTTCCTAATAGGAGAAAAACCCCTGACTTACTTTCACCTTCAATACCAACCCTAAAGCTCTCACGGGGCAAGCTGTCAGCATAATGAGAACTCTTTTGAACCAACATCAGCTGTACAGCGGAGATTAAGTGAAGTAATCCATAACACAATTTACTACTACATTAAAGTACATAACAACATCATGCAAGTGAAGTGATCAACTACTTAAGAGACAAAAGTTTCAGTAGCCAGCAGAAATCTGTACTTACTTTAAGAGGTTTATCAACAGGCGTGCAAATCCTTGCACCATGCTGATCTCCAGCTTCGGAATTGTTACCAACTCATACAACAATTTGATAAAAAGCACATGATCTTCTCTGCTAAATTTTCTCCCATATAATCGTATGTATCTACAAACAAAACACAAGATGAGTCAGCAATATTTTTAAACATTTCCATTTTCTTTAAGACCTGAGCCAGACTTATTCTGACTTGCTGTTTAATGAAACAAAACTAAAATCTGGTTCACAAGTCCAACAAATAAAAACCTGAATATATACAGGATATAAACGAAGATTGACAACAGAAACTAACTACAAAAAGAAAAAGAATGACCAAATAAAGTTCAGTCTTCTCAGATTCTACAAACTGCATAACTTCACGCTCAAACCAGATACTACAAAACCGAAGATCATATTCTTTTGCCTCAGCTCAAAATGTACTGGCCATTAAACTTAGTATTTCCATATCCCCAAGTATTTGACTCTCCTTAAAAACACAAAAAAAATGCAACTGTCATAAGCAGCCTCCTTATACCCTAGCCTTTTCAGCTGGGGCTCTTTAAGTAGGATACAGGACAGAACACAGAAGCTAATTAAAAAAAAAAAAAAAAATCCCCAAACAACTTTGAAGTAAAGTCCAAATCTGACAGCTTCCAGTAAGGCTGAACAACTGATTTAGCCACTGAGCTTTGCTGTTGGTATGTCCCACTGCTATCCCTTATTATTTACTATTTTAAGCAAGCATAGAGCCATTAAGACTACCTCTGAAATAAGTGCTTGCTATTTTCAAGTTTAGATTGAATAAATGAGTACTTTTAAAGTCTCAAAAGATAATCTCCACCAGCAAAACCTACATAATGGTGCAGCATTTTACGTGTCACACAACTATAAGTTACTGGTCACCCAAGAAGCACACTTTCTTTTTTATCATTGCTCCAACAATTCTTAAAGATTCACAAGAAACCTCACTAATATGCTGTCTCCAAGTAGCTGTTAGACAAAGCATGCAAGGTATGAACCCCTATAAAACAATTTTTTTCTGTAAACTTTTACTCCTCACAGAATTGACAGTGGGAGAACTGACCATTTGAGAACAAATTCCGATCCTTTAATAAAACAAACATACATGAAGCACACTTCACACAGTGACACAAGAGCACACAGGAATTGGACTCAATTGCTTGAGCGCTTTTTTTCCTACTTTCCCACATCCCCGTTCCTCAATTTAAAACAAAATTGTCTCAGAACTTTCAGGATCACCCACAGCTAGTAATCTTACCAAAGCAGTTAGTTTCCTTAAATACACACATACCAAGACCCTTTACTCTTTCCTCTAAAGATTTTTTTCCAACCTTCTTCCTCCCGTTTCCCTTGAAGACACAGTGGAACAGTTATAGGACAACCAAACCAAGAACCACCAGTTTTCAAGAAAGAAAGAAAAAAACAACCAATTCTACAGCCCTTCTTTCCACTTCCCTTTTCCTTTTCCCATTGACTTCAAGGGGGGATTTTTACATTTCATGGGCAGTATTTTCACTAATGCTCATTTCAACATGTTCTACTTACTTCAAACACAGACGGAAATGAACAAATTACAGGATAACCCACTCGACCACAGGAACCTAAATTATCTGGATTGTCCAGTAACACTATCTACCTACAGAATTACACCATCAACAGCTGAACACCTACACTTTTCACATGCATAAAACGGACATGCAAAAAGAATGCTTAGGAAAAAAAGAAAAGGTGACTTGATTTTGTGAGAGCTAACAGAACTATATAACCTACTTGCAACATCTTACCTTCTAAAAGCATACATTGCTCTACACTGTACGGGAAGAACCCAATGTGAAAGCCTGGAAGCTTTTTCAAGATAAATGGGGTAACAATTAGGACAACACAAAAATTTCATAAGCAGACTTAAGAGCTATTCCCATACTCTCGAAGAAAAAGCACATCCCTTGAAAACGTCTGCTAGACTTAGCAGGCAAATCAGAGGCATTTCACATGTCCATGAGACAGATTAGCAGCCACACAGTCCTACCCTCCTACTTCAGTCATTTCCCTCAGTCTTCACTTACTATTTAGTAAAAGGATAAGACAGTGTTTGATGCAATGACCAAACTTTACAGGAGTTTGCGTACAAGGGTGTTTGTGCTTTTCACAACAGTACACATCTGGAAAGGAAAACAGCAACACCAAAGGCTCATTTCATTGTGGAACAGACAGTTCTGAAACAAAGTTTAACCTTTAATAACTTCCACTTCACTATCCTTCAGTCATACGCACTCGCATGTACTTGTCCACTCTCATAATACTAGGCATAAAGTAACATAGAATACTGGTTTCATTTCTTCATGTATGATTAAAAAAAAGAAACTGTGGAAGCCTGAAAAGTAAGTTTTAACTACAAAGAAACAGTACACAAGAGATCCAATTAATCTGTCAACATTGCTATATATTGTCTGGTTACCTTTCTTGACATTTGCTAACAGCAGTTCTATTACACAAAATGCTGTTTAATTAGGAAACAGAAGAAGGAGTAAAGTACACAGAAATGTACCGAACACAAAGATGTCACTATGCCCAGGAAGCAGAACTAGATGCCAAATAGGTCCCATCTTTACATTTTTTTTACATAAGGGGGGAGGCAGATTTTAAAACCATCAATTATTTGCCATAATCCAGCTGTGCATCAAGACAGCGACAGAAAATAATTACTTATAGAAAGGAGATAACCACCTTTCCTCAAGATTAAATGAGCACAATGTAACAGAAGGGTACTGCAATGTTTCCAGAATATCCCCTCACAAAGGATGAAATATTGCCATTACTAAATGAAAGAGTATATGCAGAACTTCATGAATCCTGAAGGATGCCTAGGGGCTAATCACACAGATGCTTGTTCACCATATAAGTGGTGTTATTTCAGGATTAAAAAAAAAAATACTACTTGGGTTATTGGGGAAAAAATAATTCCAGAACTAAATTGCTCCAAAACAACAACAAAGACTTCTATGAAGGCAGTTAATACTACATTGCAACGATTCTTCAAATCTCAATTCCACTTCTCTTTTGATTCCTTCTTTAAGAAAACCATCAAAGTTTCATGAGCTCTCAAACTCTACCAGTCAGCTCCAAAAAGGATAAATAAATTGTTCTTCATTGTACAGGCCCACTGGGTTCCGATTTGGAGTTCAGCTACATGGAGAGAAAAAAAAAAACAAAAAAACAACAACAACACAACCCACCCGCCCACCCTGCCTAAAAAACATGATCAGGAAGTGAAAACTCTGTCTGCAGCTCCATCCATTCTGTACAGAGTACAGGGTGTCTCTGGAGATGTGAAGAAAAGAAAAAAAAAAAAGAAATTCAGAACCAAGAAGCCAATTCTCTATTCTAAAAGTATTAGGTATCCAATCTCTCACTCCACAATTACAATAGACCTATTTTTAGCAGATGTACTGTTGTATCAAGTGGACATCCTAAATTGCCCTAGAAAGTTGGCTGCTCTGCCACAGTGAAAAAATTGCCTTCACTTATGAAGCCGAACAGAGCACACTCCTAAATTCCTAGCTATCTATTTTCATGTTCTAACACACAGGACAGGATTGTGATTGGTCTAAAAACTCAGTTTTTGACAAATTATATGAAAAACAATGAATCACCCTCAACAAGACTATTGACTTAGACTAACCACATGTACATGTATACAATATACATACAAATCCCTGCATCCAAAAGAAAGCTTGTATTTTTCTTGATAGAGAGGGAAACAGATGTAAAGCAAGATTTACACGGAATAGCGATTAAAATAATTCAGCAAAGTCCCACTGAGATGTTTTTATCCTCAATGTAACTTTGTCTCCTGCCATTCCAATTCAAAGCATTTGAGACGCATTTTTTCCACACCTTACAGCAAGACAGTTAAATGTCATTTTGTAATAAGCCTATACCTGACAGGCATTTAAAGTAAGCACCAGGAACAAAGCTCCAAAAACTCTACCTTTGCCTACTGAAATAGAAAGCACAAGGCAGACATTTGTGTGTTTTCCAGAATGCAGAGTCAACTACATGTACAGTAACTATTAAATGTTCATACTATACTAATATGCTCATTTACAGGCTATGTTCCAAAAAAAAAGTTAAAAAAAAAAAAATGCCCAACGTTTCTACGTAAAAAATGAAAAAAGGAAAAATTGAAACAGCAGCCTACTTTTGACCGACAGACAATAAAAGCCTATTTAAGCCTTTCAGTACTGGATTAGTGTTTTATAAGATACAGCTTTTACTAGCCAAAGTTGGGGGAAACTTGGGGCAATAATTACAGATTTAAATGCCAATCTTTAAGGCAAGCAGTTTAACTTGCATAAGAAGTCCCACCAAGTCGTAAGTTACTTAAATCACTGCACTATTCCTGTCTTCACAGGAAAGTTCTCCCGTCACACTTCACGTATGCATCCCAACCAAAGATCCAGTCTGATCACGGAAAATTATCCATAAAAGAGTTATGCAAATCAGCTTATGGACATTGTGTCCGATAAACTCCAATTTCGCTCTTTTTTCCTCCTACTCAGTTGGTGACATCAGACAGCTGAAACAGCTGCTCTTAAGATAACTATGTGCAAGTCATGTTTTCAGCTGTTGCGAGTAGAAGAAATACAAGATCTCAGGTTCAGCTGTCATCATGAAATGGTAACTGATACTCAAATTTTTAATTGAAAAAAAGATTTGAGTTTCACTTTCATTCTTCATACTCTACAAGGTTTATTGAGGTTGTATAAAGTTGTGAGAACCTGAGGAGGTGTAACTATACAAGTACATAACCTCGATGCAATTTTTTTTCTTTACTCGTTTATATGTACATACATATTACAATGTCTGTGTTAATATCTGTATCTGTACAAGAAACAGATTAAAGACGTGTCAGGCGTGGTTCTGCATAATAAATTATTTCACAGAATATTGTGAGAATACTGGCTTCTATAATTCAGACATCTGCAACTAAGCTAAGCAGAGACTGCACCGTTAGCAAGATATAGGGCATTTTTTTCATCCAACAAATGTGCTGTTTATTATAGCTGCCCAGCAGGGAAAAAGGTAGTAAGCCGATTCGGAG